TACCTATCTGTTAGAAAACACTTTGGAATTATAAACGATGGCGGAAAATAAAGAGAGTGACGTTGTAGAAGAAGAAAAGAATTGTAAACTGACCTACTATTTTCGCGATCTACTAAAGGAGCGAATAAATTTTCAGATACCTAGAGAAGAGACAGTTGACATAGTACGTGCCATTGAAACACTCGTTTCGATCATTTTAGGGCACGTGACCTCAAAAGTACATTGGCTTCCTTTCTCAAGACTTTTAAAAGTAGGTAGTATGGCAGAAAGAACAAGTATTGTATTTCCGGACGAATTCGACTACCTTGCTATTTATAAACAGAATGGAATGCAGGTCGAGAGAGTATGTAAAGAAGATAGAGGTTATGCCCATATTAAAGTCACAGATCCTGATTTAAAAAAGAGATGGTGCAAATGGCTTCGGGGAGATTATCTGCAAGCCTATTTTAAAACACATGGATTTGCAGTTATGTTACCAGAATATTTTGATACCCTAGGCAATGCCTTTATGTACGAAGTATCACAAATATCAAAAAGTGTATCAGACGTTGGCGTATGCCCAACAACAACAGGACTAATGCGCATTGATAAACGCGTCCAAAAGAACGGACCGGCATTTACACAGCACTTTCTCTGGGAGCCTTATACTCGTCAAAAAAGTAAAAGAACGATAAAAGTGGACATAACCCCAGCAATTGAATTTGACTTAAACGACGATATAATTAATGAAAATGACACATTCCATGCAGATGTTCTCAACAAAACTGTTAAACATGGTAAGTTTATGTTAGTTTTGACTCACGACCAAGGACCATCTTGTCCACTTTGTTTCCGACTGACCTTTACAGAGACGGAAGTAGATCTTGTCCGTTGTCTAAATACTCATCACAAAGACTGTTATAAACTATTGAAGTTTATTTTCAATAGTGGCGGAGGGGTTACGTTTTTATCCTCATACGTTTTGAAAACACTTGTACTAAAGCATGGTTATCACTGTAAAGAAAGAGCAAACCTTGCAGTCTGTTTCAAACAGCTTGTTGCAGTATGCCTTCACTATCTATTCAACAGGAAAACTGAGGAAAAAATTGAAGTGAGTCGTTTGGTTCGCCTCTTCATGCGGGGTGAAAAATTCAAATTACATATTCCTAGTATCTTCATCAAAGGACATAACATAATGGACAGCAAGGATTTTCAGATTCCATGTGAACAATTCTTACTCGGAATTGAGAGAATGCTACAGTCGGTTGAAGAAATCTGTTTTGCAGAAAATCCAAAGGTCGACGACATTGTTATTGTAAACAGCCACATGACTGCGTTTGTATCTTATGCCAAGTCATCGCAGTTAGTTAACAAACATCTAGAACTTGAAAAATGTATTTCAATAATTCAGCAGTATTTCAATTCAAATGTTCTGGAATGAAGAGATTATTGAAATTGATATTCACGACACCGACATAACATTTTAACAAAGAATTGTGATAATGCTAGTAGGTAAATGTATGACACTTAACTCTATTTCTTTGTTAACAACTTATTTCTTGACTGCTTAATACCATGTTAGAAATTACTCATTTTTAAACCACTATATTTTTCTATAATATATTCATTTTTTTCTTCTTTAACAATGGACATAAACTAAATTGAAATGAGAGCTCTTTATGATAAATAGGCAGGGATGGTGCAAATATGAATTCGACATGTCAAAAACCTGACGAGGCATGCGCATTTTAAGAAGGGAAATAACGATAATACGCAGGATATATAACAAGGTCTCATGATTTAAAGAATTAGATATTTTCAGTTTGTATTAATTATCTGCTATTTATGTTATGAAGCCCTATTTCTAACTTGCATAAAGCAAATCTCAAAACAAAATCATGGCTAGTTTACAGGGAAATATGAAAAGATCAAAAAAGGGGCCACGTTCAATGAGTGCAACCCATCATGACCTAGTAATACCGTCAATTTGCGTGATTATGGTGTATAATCAACATGAAAAAACTTAAATTTGCAATAAACATTGAAAGAGATAACACTATTTTATACTTGTACAGAAAAAAGCGCATCATATCAACTTTTCCTAAACCATGGAAAAATTATCATTATGTCAAAATTGTAAACATGTACATGTACTTTGTTGCTCAAAGTAAACCTTGTTAATTGTTAAGTTTGTTCAAATGTCTTAACAAGACATTTTACACATATTTCTTGAGAAACTTCAACTTAATCAACATTTTCAACATGAAGACCATTTGATGCGGCTACATTTTCGTCAAAATTTTTAGTTCTCTTCTTCTTGTTCTTGATCTTTTTTGTTTTTGATTTTATTGGTGTCTGCAATTTGAATATATTTGGAATATCCAAAGCAATTATAACTGCCATTACGCTAGAGAGCAAAATAACGCCAATGGTACCTGAAATGAAAATTACAAACAAATCAGATATTCCATCTTGGCACATATATAATAATATAATAATATTATAATAATAATAACAACAGGTATCTGAAGTATTTTCAGACAATAAAAATGATGACAAATCTTAAACGTCAACTTCAACGTTGTCTTCAACTACGTATACAGTATTGAGAACTGTGAAAAATTTGGTACATATGTCAACGATTTCCGGTTTAGATTAAATAAAATACAACATATATGTTGTTTGAAATAATGGTAGTATAAGATAATAAGTCTTATTGCAGAAACCTACCAACAGCAACCGATGTCGGCCGGTTATCCTCGGCAGACGTTAATTTCCGTGTGTTGGCAGAAGTGGAACGTGCGTCTATTGTTAGGTTCTGCTCTAGTTGCTGAACTATTTCTTCTGTCGTAAAATTGTCAAAGGCTCCAGTGCTGCATTGACACGGCATTATATAGATAGGCTCTGGTTTACATACGGGTGTCGTTGGGTAAGCCCTTGGACTTAATGTAGGGTTAGTTTGCAGGAGAATGGTGCGGTTTAATACGTCTGAAAAGATAATTGTGATTTATATTTTTCTGGTGATGTTATACAAATATGAGTATAGCTGTCTAGTTCATACATAAAAAATTCATGAAAATACTGTCATTTATGTAGGAAGGGATACCCAAAGACAAGACCTTTTAATGATCGAATAGAGAAAAAATACAATTCAATTCCCTAGAGAAAGTCCAAAAAATGCAAAATTTATGGATAGTACTGGAAAAGGCAAGCTACTATCCACGGCCCTCACTTGTGTAGTATGTTAAACAAAGTGACAAACTACTAGCGTATATTGTATTCATATGTGTCTGTGCTGGCCGAATGACGAAAGAAAACATTATTCCATGTATTTGAAATTGTCAAAAAGTCACAACAGATGCAACGTGAATTTCAAATTCACATGCGTTTCATAATAACATATCAAGCACAAGGTTGCAATCTATCTTAGGAAAAAATCATTTTGCCTAGTTCAGATTTGCTTTAGAATGTACTGAAATATCGATATGTCTTACTTTCTAAGCAGTACTTCCACATAAATTTAAAGCCAGGCACCCCTGTGAATGCTAGATGGCAGTCGCATATGTGATAATAACACTCTAACTTTGTGGGATGATATGTGACACCTCTGCACTCGGCCGTTTCCAAGCAACGCTCATAGCAAAGTTCTGGATAGTATACAAGATACTCTGTCATGGACGGTATTATATCACAACTTCCTACATATCCCTCTATCATGTATATTTCATATATTGGACAATCTGAAAACAAATCATTAATGTCATATTACTTTTTAAAACATAAAAGCTATTATCTCATATAACCACATGCTTAATCATTTTACTTTCATTACGTGCTTATTATATTTCCAATATATGTTCTCTTCCTTTCTAATTCCAAATAAAGTCACATATGCTATATTTCTGTTTCATCAAATAATGTGACATTACCGCATTATTGCGTTTTTATTAAAGTTATTAAAATTAAACAAATATTTACATCGATATTAATTGCAACATTCAAGATGTGATCAGATACATGACAAAATGTCAATTTATCATTCTTCATCAATTATAAGCTATTAAAGAAAAAAGAATCAGAATCATATCTTAACCTCGCATTTCTTTGAAATAATTTTGATAACTAATAATTAATTTATTTATAAGTACAAAACTGGAAGGCGTCTCCTCCAATATGATTTCTAAAGCTCTGTACACGTCAAAACATATTCTTTAATTGTACAGTTAAATGTTAAACAACCTATAAATATTACCATCATTGCATGCTTTCCTGTTGAAAATTGAGCCATACTGCTGTGTAGCATACGCGCAATCAAACAACTGGCATTCCATACTACTGCTGTCATATACAGCCCCCTTGCATAACGTTTCTGATTCGCACAACAATTTACAGGAGCTTGAGTTTGAAGTTGTTATTTTGTAGTAGGACGTCTGACACAACGATCCTTGTTTACAATTCAAACAAGTCTGTGTCGTTGGAGACGGGCAGTCTAAACGTTATATCGAAAATGTTTTTACAGGTTTTTGTAGTATACATGTATAAATGCACGAAAAAAGATTGTTGCTTCTAGACACAAAATTATAAAAATAATGATAATAATATGTAAATCAGTACATGAATATATAAACGTAGCTCATAATTTTTTCCTACAGTATAAATCACAAGGTAGGTGGTTTTCTTTAATAATTCATTGGAACTGGATATTAATCGTATATTTATTTCTAAGTTGTTTTTAAGTCCCAAATTTAACAATGCTTTATGTTCTAACCTGTAAAACAGTTCTTGATTGAAAAAACATCTATAGTATTTTTTGAGACATAGTCGGTACAGCTGTGATATGTGCAGTTAAAAGCGGTTTTATCCATGTAAACCGAGAAACAACCCGGGAGGTCCAAACACCGCCGGAGACAAAATTCCACGTTGAGCACACCTTCGTCATACTCGAAAGCTTCACAATTCGGAGCACTACCAGCTATTGTTTTCATTTCTAAGTGTAGGCATTCTATAATGTAATTATATATTATATTTGTTGTCGGTGATAAAGGCACGTATAAAATCCTTATAGGTTGATATACTTTTTTCTAGTTTATTTAATTCCTACGCTAAAAATTGATAATTTCACTTTGAGATAATATAAACGAGTATCTTGCTTTTAGGTCGATATTTGACAATTGTGCGTGTAAGAGGGTGAAGAAAGCAATTTACTTCGGTCTTTATGTTTAGTTCCAATGATTGCGGAATGAAAATGTCCTGAATGCATGCATGTCATGCATCCTCGAATAAAACAACGCAACGGTTTACCGCTTCTATAAAAAATACTTTTTAATTATTTGAAATGCCTCTTAAGCATCCAAAACAGGAAAGGCCCCACCTGTACCCTGAGTATGTAATTTTTTATTTGAAGCTTGATGCTGTTTGAATTTAAAAAACGATTAGTTAAAGTAATTTTACCTGGATTAGTTGTTTTTCGTAACAACGTAGTACCTTGCCCGAGACCATATGGTCTGTCGCACTGGCTGTGATGGCACTCTTCGTTTATTGGGTCGTATACAGTAACGTCGCACTCACTACATGTCGTATTGCAAAGATTGGCTGATGTAATATTTGTCTCCGTCATTATTGCATGCTTCGGAAGACCACATTTATTAACAAAAATTTTAATCGTTTGTACGTATGGTTTAACAGGATCCAGCTCTACGAAGAAAAAGATAATACGATGTTAAATCAAAATATATGCTACCTGAAGGTGAAAGCATGGCATGGGAATGATAGCCACATGAATAAATGACACGCTACACTTTCTTTGATGTTATTCCTTTTGTAAGGCTCTTATGTGCCTAACATGGATGGAAGATAATCTAAAAAAAAATTAACTTCCGTCCATTACAGTCTAGTCCGGAGATTGAGATTAAATTTAAAAGTGATGACGGGAATTGAGTAAGTGTAAGAGTAAGTGTAAGAGCCAAAATGCTACCTTGTTTATATTTAATTATCTAAATTAATGATACCAAAAACTGTTTACCAGAAGTATAACGTATAAACTATCTAATGAACCTTTACAAAATTGTATAATCCGTTACTAAAAAAAAGTGAAAAAGAACCATAGCTCTACTTAAGTTTAAATTATCTCCCCTAAATAACATGACTACACTTGTCCGGAAAACTTGAAAATTGTTAATAAAATTTTATTAGCACCTCGCACAATATTCAATATTAGAGAACATTAAGAGGAGGTACAGTGTCTTACAAGAGCTGTCGGATGTGCAGCGTGCTTTGCTTTTTTCTGTACCTGATTTCATGAAACAGGCAAATTAGAAAAGACGGCACAATTCTGCAAAACTGTATGCAATTTTTGCATTTTATTATCAGGTTGAACAAGTATTTTAAGTTTGAAGTGACTATATATCTGATTGAAAGTTATACAAAGATTTAAAAAAGCAATATTGAGATAATTGGACTAAAACGTCGTGCAGAGAGTTGTTCCCTTAGAAATACATTTCAAATGTTTTATAACAAGAATCCCACATTTTATGTGAATATCTTTGATAGCTTTAGAGAAATTAATCCTAACAAAAATGTTAAAATAATCCAAGAAAAGGAGAAAATATAACTTTAGACTATCTGCCCTTGTGATGTTGCCTTACATGATGCTAATAAACATTTTTTTGTCTTCGAAAAGCGGCGCTTACAACCATAATGACCAAAGTTTGCTTAATTTCTGAATTTCATCTTTTAATGATACTTAAAAAGGTTGTCTGGAGTAAAGCTTTCTTTGATTTATAATAGAAACTTCACATTTGAGGTAAGTGAGAGGGCGTATGGTGTTTAAGAACCATACCTCTTCATTATGTAGTTTGTTTATTCATATCCCCTGCTTTCAACTGATACAGTTAATATTTGGTAGGTGGAATACCTTGAAGTGTCGTTTGCCCAAATGGCCTAGTTCGCCAGTGCTATAAGTAATAGTTATAGTATATGAAACGAGTTAGTCTCGAGGGTATAACACTGGCTGGGGCGACATCAAGGGGTGTTTCTGCTAAAAAATGGCGAGGCCGTTAGGGGCAGAAACATCCCGAGATGTCGCCCCAGCCAGTGCTATACCCCCGTAACTAACGAGTTTCATGTACTATAACTGTTATATCGCAATGGCATAATGTTTTCTTTTTTGTATAGAAACAAATAAATGAATTAATCGTTAGCTACATTACAGTTATTTATGATAAGGCAGTTTTTCAAGTTGTTTTTGCTGCCGCAAAAAAAATATACAAAAGACATCCAATATAAGAGGCGGATTGTATACTGATACCAAGATTGATTTAAGATTTAAGGGCTTTTTTCATTTCAATTATTATCTTTGTTTATATTTTTCATTGTATTTATATATTTATTTTATTTTATTGATTTCATTTTTTATTATTTTATGTTTTTTTTTCTACTGGGAATGGTCGTTACCACTGCCCCATTGGAGCCTCTATGAAAAAACTGTATTGATATATACAAGGTGCGAAAAAAATTCGACCGATATATAACAGTCGAGTTTTTTTCCTATATGAATCAATGAAAAAACTGTACTGTTATATATCAATACAGTTTTGAAATGCTCATTGAAGTGTACTGAGTATAATGGGTTAGAAAGAACAAAGGAAAAGCTCACAGCCATGCGATAAGAATGTACACGTTGTACTTTTGGAAGGTACATACCGGTAGTGGTCAACAGAAAAAAATGTTGTCAGGCGTTAACTGCATATACTTCAATCAACTCTATGTCAGTGTTAAGCATAACAAATTATCAATTCCCTTTCACTGTTTGTAAAGCAATACATATTATAAAAAGAAGAGAAAAGAAATTATAACGTGTATTTTTATATACAGGTGTGTGTGCGCGTGTGTGCGTGTGTGCGTGTGTGTGTGTGTGTGTGTGGAATAAGTATGAAACTTACCATCGAAGGTCATGCAAACTCTCTTAACAAATGTGTACGATGCGTTCACATCTCTATCAATGCAGTTATGGTAGAAACATTTAAGTTGCGAAGGATCGTGACTGACACCTCGGCAGTAAGGCATGTCTAGGCATTTATCAATGCAATAATCTAAGCTAACACCTCCCTCATGAAAGCCAATAATTGGGCATGTGCCAATATATCCATTTAGAGTAAAAAGTCTAAAAATGGGACAATCTGAAAATAATATGTACAATAATAAAGAATGAACAGTTCAAAATTTAAATAATCACACAAATCAGGGCCTTTCAAATACAGAGCCTATCATTTAAAAGCCTGATTAAAATTTAAGCATAGTTAATAAAAAGTAATAACTATTCAGAAATCGTAAGATGTTTTTTTTCATACGTTAATTATTATGCGATAGAACTTTTTGTGAGTTTCTGATGGTTGTAATTAGATTATCCGTGTTAACGAGATCTTTTCGTATATGTTGGGCTGGAATAGGAACTTTGATACAAAAATATAGGGACATGGCCGTTGGAGATTTTTAAACGAAAATAAGAGTTCTTTAAAACATAAAGTGGAGTCTTTTAAAACAAAAAAGAAGTCTCTTAATGTAAATAGGAGAACTTCTAAAACAAAAATAAGGAGTAATTTTAAAAATGGAGAACTTTTAAATAAAAATAGTTGGAGTAATTCAAAAAGAAAAAAAGAGTACTATGAAACGAAAAGAAAACAGTCCTTTGAAAAGGAAAAAAATATAAATAGAAAACGAGTGAATTTTACATTAATGTAATAATTGTGATATTACCAGAAGCAGGCGAATTCCTAAACACCCTTTTAGACATTATATCTTCTTGTTTTACCATAGTACAGTTCATCAGGAAGCAGCCGTTGGTGTAAGTTCTGTACATGATAACATCTCGACTTTCAGAACTTTGGAACTGGACCTCGCATGTCTCCCAGGACGGATAGGGGGTAACGAGCGCACCAGCAAATTTCTGGCACAAATCACTCATGGCACAACAGTCACAAATTTGCTGATAATCCCTTTGCGGTTCTTTTTAACAAAAATAACACACAGTTAAAAGCGTAGTTATAAACAATAATCTCTCATTGTTTTTAATAATAATATTTAAAATGATGAAAAAATATCGTTTTTATCTTTTAAACTCTATTCTTATCACATGTTTGGCAATCACCTAAATCTTTATAAGATCATCTGAATGTTTAAAAGATTATTTTTTTCATTTATTTTACAACTATATTTTCTTTTTATTGGGTATTAATTTGTTTCTGAACAGTCATTAAATTGGTACTTTTCCTCAGTAATGGCATACCGTAGTCGATGCAGTGTTTCCACATAAATCTTTGACCCGGTGACGTCGTATGATTTGAACAATTGTGATATTCACATTTCCCCGTAGAGGATGCAAATGTTGATCCTCTGCAACCAGGCATGTCAAGACATTTCTCGATACAATAATGGAACGTTAGACCGCCTTCTTCAGTGTGTATGACGTCGCAAGATCCGCCGACGTCATCTAACTGAAATATCTCGAATTTCTGACAATCTGAAACACATAAACCCCTAGAGAATATATATATTTATTATATAGTCTGTAGTTTACACAAGTACTTTGAGAATTAAACAAACGTAATAATGATGAAAAATACTTATTATTCTTTAGCAGTAAAGTGCCAATGACGATATTTTTGCTAAACGGTTAGATCCTTACGTTGCTTATAATTGAAGCATAATTTTATGTTCGGGTGTCACGTTATAATCACAAAGACGTTATCAGGTCCACCATTTATATATATATTCAAATCTTGCCTTGTACTTTGTTTACAGACAATACATTTAAAAAAAAATGTATTATTCTGTTTATTTTCAATATCCGACTCTATCGTGAATTAACCATAATGTTTTAGCATCAATAGAATTTCACTATTGATTCATTTTATAAACATAATTCATAACGTATAGCTTTGTACCCTTTAATATGAAGAATTCATCAGAACTCTTACCATAGCACCTATATTTCATCATAGATGTATAATGGGTGTATACCACATAAAATTACATTTGACAGGCAGTATATCACTAACAGTACTGAATATAACATCAATATTTTCAATGAATTATTGATTAAATGAAAACTCAAATTTTGTATATTAATTCTGCGAAACATCATAATGAATACATAAAGACATAGTAAGCAGATATTTGCTGATCTTGTGATCCAGTGCATATGAAAACTTAAAAGCTTTAGTCTTACATGAATTGATGCTAGGGCAAGAGTTGCAATGTATTGTTCACATATACCAATAACTGTATAGGCCAATAAAGTTAATGGGTTTTATCCGTACGTGATAATTACCCGATAATTACCGGAATAACATGATATTTACCGATATTACACGAATCTCTGTATACTAGTTCTCCGATTTCTTGACGAACTTGAGAGCATTGTGTTCGGTTGCAGGAACTGTAACTTCGATGGTAGTGGACAATAGTACTGTCACTATCTATATCAATAAAACGTACATATACTACATGAATTCAATTTTTAATTATACCTATTTAAAAACAAACCGAAGCAGTGCGAAGCGAATCAGTTTGTCCCCGGTACCATACTTTCAATTTCAAAAAGACGTATTTTGTTCAAACATTGAATCATAAATTATTTCGAATTTTTATGATTATTTTTTTCAGTTGGAATCCTGCTGAATATCAAAACCGCAGTTCGAATGCTTGAACAAAATACGTCTTTTGAGATTGAAAGAATAATATCAGGGAAAGAGGAAATCATTCACTAAGCACTGTTTAAATTCGTTACTGAATTGTTTTTGTTTTTGTTTTAATAATTCTCTATTTCATTTAGAAACATTAAAAAACTCAAGCGCTTCAAATCTTCGAAAGAAATACTTATTTCACCCCTAAGAAACATTTATAAAGCTACTTTCTAGAAAGCGCATGATCTACACCTCATACCCCATGTAAACTAATTGAATGATTAAATCAATATACTAGAAGATACTACCTTGACCTTCTTTATATTGGTTTTCTGCCCCAAAGCACGTATATAAAAGAAAATCTCGTGGATATGGCATCGTGATTTTTTTGCCTTATAGTTCACTGATTTGGTAAGGATTATCCCAAGTAAATAACCCCACCAGAAGATCTGAGGTCAACCTCGCCTTGACGAAAGCAATGACAAAACGAAAGAATTCTTGCCAGCAGTCGTAATATTAAGTAGGGAAGTAAATGTTGACCAGAAAATGATTCATATTGGTTTTGTGATAGTTATGGTCGTGGTTGTCGCTTGAAATCGTAAACGTACTAGTCGTACTAGCCTTAATCGCGGCCGAAGTTGTTGTCGTCGGCGGGTAGTCGAAATAATCGTTATCATAGCATAACTCTTAGTAAACGTCATTGTAAGTATACTTCTAAAAATTGAAGTCGTAAAAATTTTTGTTTTATAAGTTTTGTAAAAGTATTAATCGTAGTAGTCGTTGCCGTACTCATAGTCTTGGTCGATGTCGTCGGTTTGGTTGTAATCGTTGACACCATTTTGGTTATTCTACAAAACGTAGCTTTATACGGCATATACTGCTTGCGGTATGCTGTATCCAGTGTAAGCTGTATACGGTGTCATATGGTTTATGCGTCTTTATGACACAATGTTTATATATACTTGTAAGCTATGGGGCGTCCGTGGCCGAGTGGTTAAGGTCGTTGACTTCAAACCACTTGCCCCTCACCGCTGTGGATTCGAATCCCGACATGGACTTTGGATTCTTTCATGTGAGGAAGCTATCCAGCTAGCTTACGGAACGTCGGTGGTTCTACTCAGGTACCCGTTCGTCATCAAAGTTGATTATGATTTCCTAGTAGTTAGACGTGTTGATTTGTGCTCTGTATATATGATGGATTTACATGATATAACGCGGGAAATATATGGATTATTTTATATGTGAGTGTAGATAAATTAATCATTGTTTTTGATATCAAATTAAAAAGCAAATATGTTGAGCAATTAATACGTTAATGAGGAAAAACCAACATTCTTTTGTTTTGCTGGATTTAAAACTTGTGATATTTCCCGGAGGCGTTGGTATGAAATTGTCCGCCATTGTCCGGAATGGATTATACTGAGCTACTCCCGATAGCTATGAATGACAATACTAGTGTGAAAATCCCGTTTATGTCACGGTTGGCTGACACGCAGTCAGCGAGCGAGTATATGACATTGACGAATGACTCGTATAAAACAGATGGGTTTCATCTACAGCCAGCTCAGAATGACAACGAGCTTGACTTATACAACAGTCTGGTATCCTTATACAGGGACTACCCAACTGACATGTTTGTAGCACAATTATTGAAGATGAATACTTCTTGTGAAGTTAAGCTTGAGCAAACGAGACAGATGCTATTTTCCATACTCAGAGAATGTGACGACTTTCCATATGGCCTTCAAACTGAACTGAAAAGGAGAGTGTCGACACGGAGAGGTGAACCCCTCTGTATGAAGCTCGCCAGTGATATTCACGTTATCCTATCAGTTTTGGAGGGTGAAGATATGGGATTGATTAAGAGCTTATTAAGTACATCGCGGACTGGTCGTTCGTTATCGTATACCCCAGGACGGCCCGTACAAGGTTCTATCCAACCAAAGGAAAATAGTCAGTGTCAGTGCTGTAAAGAGTTACCTTCTCTTAGAGACTCAATCTCCTCTATGCAAGCAGATCTATTACTAACTAAACAGCGTGTATGGCGCATGAAAATACTCGAGAAAACCAATTAAAAATCCATCTATGACTCATTTAATATACTGAAACAAGAATTTAAACTTCTGATTGATAACTTATCGAAGAAAACAGCAGACACTTTATCATTCTTAGACATTAACCTGAAAAGAGAACTGAGTAATATTAAATCTGTACTCAACGAAACTGTTTCTAGGTTAGATGTTATTGATAATACCCTTAAGAAGTCTGATGAAAATGTAGAGCAAGAGTGTGCTGAAGTCCCTTCAGTCTCAAACTTATTTAGTCAAACGACGAATTTCCACTACTACAAGACGGCCATTGTCCAGATCTATTCTGGGGAAAAGGGGGGCAACCTAGGCGGAAAAGGGAAATTTAAATTTTTAAAATTGTAAACCCCAAAAACTTTTTGTTGTGAAACAAAATACATCTAAGAGAAACCCGACAAATTATTCCGTTGCCCTTTTACATGAGGTTGATCTCGTCCCGCTTGTCTTTTAAAATATTGAATAAGTCTAGTCTGCTAGTTCAAAAGACAAAAATTCCAAAACTAGCTAAAGAGAAAAAAACTCCTTCAAGAGCGAATGCCCAAAAAAAAAAAAAACTATGGTTTTCAAAACAAAATACCCAAAGTTTTAAAAATGTTGATCAAAATAAAAAGATTACCCACGGCTAAAATATTCAGTGCGAGTATTTAAAACGGTTTGGACAAGCAAAAATGATTTCCCCAAATACCATTTGATGAAAGCCAGTTTGATTGTCACGTTAGAAAAGCGAACGAAAAGTTATTACATAGGAGGCTTAAAAAATTCAATTACTGTGAACTTAATTCATCAGTTCATATCCCATAAAAGTCTGAGAGCCGGAACAATTAAAATATTCCCGTGTAAAAGAAACTCGAATGACGTCATTATTCGCGCTAACATCTTCGCAGATGATAATGTACATAGAATTGTTGAGCACGGATTTTGGCCCCGAGGAGTAATCTGCAAGCCATGGCTATCACGTAACGCGCTTAACAATAAACGGAGAACTTGGAATCAAGGTAATGCTTCTGATGTTAATTGCGAGAATCCACAAGGTACATCGATTCTACAACCTTCAGATAGTAATTGGAACACTTATTCTTATGACTCTGACAATATATACAATCACTTACGTGGTGATGCTATCTGAATGCATAATTCGGATAATTAGGTTGCCGAGAACACATATAGACCTTTCTTTATGGAACTAAACATAGGCTCTTGGAATATTACGGGTCTTATGTCAAGCTGCTCGTATCTCTGCGATTTTCTGCAAAAATATCAAATAGACATAATAGGAATTTCAGAGCATTGGCTTTCAAGTCGAAATGTACATTTTATTAATAGTATTAACAGTAATTATAAATCATATGTTGTCTGTGATAAATCCGCTAGTGCGATTAACAGTTCTGTAACACGAGGCGGTGTTGCTTTAATGTGGAATGTTAAAATAGATAGCCTTGTTTCACAACTATGTATTGATGATGATAGAATAATAGGTATACAGGTGCAAGTAGCGCCTTCACAATTTATGTATATTTTACAGGTTTACCTGCCCTCGAGGAATCATTCTATATCTATGTTTAAGGATTATATTGATAAGGTATTTGATTGTTGGTCAATGTATAATGAGTTAGGAATAACCCTCGTTATGGGGGACTTTAATGCCAATTACTTCAAGCACGATTCAAGATATAAGTATATGTCACAATTCCTTATAAATACCAATTTGTGGCCGGTTAATGTAGGGGACATGTGCACTGGAGCCACAAAATCATTTGTATCATATGATGATTGCTACGAAACGCTAATAGACTATATATTACTTCCAATCGAAAAGTTGCAGTATGTTCGTTATTGTGAAATAGTCGACGACCATTGCTTGAATTTCTCAAGACACCGACCAATAGTTTGTACACTAGCTCTTCCATACTTTAATGTCCCTGCGACAATTAACACAAGCAATGACATTGATTCTCCAATTTCATGGAAAAAAGTTCAAGATTCTCATGTAAATGAATATCAGTTTTTCTTAGAGAACAGCACACTGAAAACTTGGAATTATAATAACCTTACAGGCCACGTAGACATTGACACTATGTATACAGACATGGTAGAAACTATGGTTACCGGGGGCCAACACTGCTTTCCAAGGGCAAAATTTAAACACTTTCTGAAACCTTACTGGAATAGTGAGCTAACCAATTTACACAAATGTGTGAAAGAAGCGCGAATGCATTGGTGCAAGGATGGTAGGCCTAGGGATAGTATTTCCGATAGTCGTAAACGATATAAAGACGCTAAACGTCAAATTTAGAAAAATACACAGATCTCAAGTCCGGAACCACCTACAAAAACTTGATGACGACATAGATAACGTAGCAGAAATGGACAGAGATCAATTCTGGAATTTAGTTAATAACAAGCGCAAAAGTTCTAATACATCTCCAGGTAGTGAAATGGTTTTCAATGATGTTACTTACAGAGACGAGCAGAATATCTGTCATCAATGGCGTTTATACTTCGAAAACTTGTATTCACCATCAAATAATATTAGTTATGATGACAATTGGAAAAATGAGGTTACGCATACATTGAATAATGCTATACAGTCAAAATCTTTAAATCGCAATGTACATGTCACAGAAAATGAGATAAAATGTGCTATTCAATCATGTAAACGCGGAAAAGCCAGCGGAATAGACAAAGTATTCTACGAGCACTTTATTCTAGGTGGAGCCGTTGTTATTCATGCACTGTCAATTTTATTCACCTTAATGCTAAGAGAAAGTCATATTCCGCTAGGAATGAAGAAAGGTATTATTGTGACAATTCATAAAGGTAATAATAAACGCAAAGATGACCCGAATAATTTTAGGGCTATTACGCTGATGCCTACCGTTCTTAAATTGTATGAGTCAGTGTTGTTAGGACGCTCGTCAAAAACAATCCTGCAAACTATCAATAGCCAACAAGGTGGTTTTCAAGATGGATTAGGCTGTATGATGACATCTTTTCTACTCAAAGAAACTTTACTGTATTGTAAAGAATTACATAGTCAAGTATATGTTTGTTACTTGGACGCTCGACAAGCATTTGACAGAGTCTGGCATGACGGCCTTTTGTGCAAGCTTAATGATTGTAACATAGATGACAATATTTTTTTATCATTTGTTGATATGTATAAAGACATGACTAGTGTTGTAAAATATAAAGGGTCTACGTCAGAGCCACTGAAAATGTTACAAGGCACAAGACAGGGGAGTAAAAGCTCACCGCTGCTATATATTTTATTCATAAATGACTTGATAATGGAAGTAGAACGAAGTGGTCTCGGAATCTGTGTTTACAACTTTACGATAAGTTCGCCAACGGTGGCAGATGACATGGTGCTAGTTTCTTTCTCTCGTAAAGGTTTACAACAAATGCTAGATATATGTTATAAATACGCGTCAAAATGGCGATTCGAATACAATGCTTCTAAATGCTGTGTTTTGAAATACTTTGCCCCCGACAATTATATGAACGAACAAACTTTCTTACTAGGGAATTCACCTATTACCATATGGTAACCAATACAAACATCTCGGGATCCTTTGTGATAATAATCTATGCATGAATCCTTCCATAGACGAAGCAGTAAGTAAATTAAGGACAACATTTTATGGTATTCTTAATTGTGGTCTTCACCCAGATGGTTTAATACCTCCGACGCTCACGACCATTTATCAAACGGTTGTTTTACCAAAAGCTTTATATGGCTGCGAGCTATGGAATTCTGTGCAGTCATCGGCAATGTTACGCTTGGAGAGAGCGCACAGAGAATGTATTAAGTGTATACAAAAAATACCCCGCAATACATCGACAGTTATCTCCCTTGGTGCATTAGGTATGTTTCCCATTGAAGCTGAAATTGCTAAACGCAAACTGATATTCTTTGGTCAAATTTGCAGACTCCCAGAGAAATATATTGCAAAACAGTTCTTTGTACACAGACTTATAAACTATTTGAACGGGGATAAACAAGTGATCGGATATATTCCTGATATGTATAAGCTATTAAGTAAATTTAATTTGCTCCATGTACTAGACGTGTATTCTGTATGTGGTACATTCCCAGAGAAACAAGCTTGGAAAAACGCTGTTAAACGGAAAGTTCATGAGTGGTATGTCAATGAAAGAAACGAAACTTTGCAAGGGCTCATGTCAGACCAGCATATAAGCACTGTGTTTCAGGGTGAGAATATTTGCCTGTTTTGGTCTTTATGTAAAGGGAATCGCTCAATGAAAGATGCATGTTACAATGCTGTTTATATTCTAGGAAGATTATACTCCTATACTGATATAGAGTGTTGTAACAAATGTAATGAATTGACTAATAAACTTACTCTCCATAAGATATTTTATTGTGCTGTTAACCATACAACTAGATGTGATATGTGGTTATATATTTTGAATTGTATCGGAATAAATGCCTATCTAGACTATATTCTACAAGATGAGAGAAACCAACTGTGCGATATTTTGTCGGGTTTTAGAGATTATAACTCTGCGTTTGATTATAATGCCCGGCTATGTTCATGTCTTACATATTTGTTTAGGCTTTGTAAGTGACTACATATATTTCAAGTAAAGCTTTAAGGGAAATACATCGTGATATTACATTACAATAGACTGTGTTAAAACAAAAATAAAACTGTAATTTCATGTCTCATCCGCTGTTCAGATCTTGTGTTTCGTTTCGATAAGCATTGAACTCTGCGGATTCCACAGTTTATGTTAGAATTTATTTAAGACAATGTTGTAATATATGACAATATTAGAAACATGCTTATATGATGTATTAGAAAATATGTCAGCAAATATAACTCCTGTTATATAAGATTAATTTTCCTTAATTTTTGATCCTGTACTTCTTTTTCGACATGTGCAGTCTTAAGGAAATTGCCTCTCTTTACTTGTTATTAATGCTATGTTTCATTATACTCGTATGTTTTGTGTTTTATTATTTCATGTAAATATTTGTATTTTTTGTATGTATATATGTTATGCTCTTCAAATATTGGAGGAAATAAAAGAATATACTATTTAGAAACATTAAAAAACTCAAGGCTTCCCAAATCTTGAAAGAAAATACTTATTCACCCTAAGAAAAATTGATATAAAGCTACTTTTAGAAAGCGCATGACTAACACCTCATACCCCTGTAAATTAATTGAATGATTAAATCAATGTCTAGAAGATACTACCTTGGCCTTTTTTATTGGTTTTTCTGCCCCCGCAGTTTAAAAGAAAATTCGTATATGGCATGGTGAATTTTTTGCCTTTGTTCATGATTGGTAAGGATTATCCCAAGTAAATAAACCCCCCAGAAGATCTGGGTAACCTCGCCTTGACGAAAGCACTGACAAACGAAAGAATTTTGCCACAGTGTAATTTAAGTTGGGAAATAAATGTTACAGAAAATGATTATATTGGTTTGTGATATGTGGTCGTGGTTTGTCGCTTGAATCGTAAACGTCTAGTCGTACTAGCCTTTCGCGGCGAATTTTTTTCGCGGCGGGAGTCGAAATAAACTTTTATAGCAAATCTTAGTAAAGTATTTTAAGTATATTCTAAAAATTGAATCGTAAAATTTTTTTTTTTTAAATTTTTTAAAGATTAATCGTGTAGCGTTGCCGTCTTAGTCTTGGTCGATGTGTCGGTTTTGGGTTTTAAACGTTGCCCCTTTTGGGTTTTCTCAAAAAAGTGCTTTTATACGGATATACTCTTGCGGTATGCTGTATCCCCGTGTAACTGTATGGTTATAGGTTTTGCGTCTTTTGCACATGTTTAATATACTTGTAAGCTAGGGGGGTCCGTGGCCGAGTGGTTAAGGTCGTTGACTTCAAACCACTTGCCCCTCACCGCTGTGGATTCGAATCCCGACATGGACTTTGGATTCTTTCATGTGAGGAAGCTATCCAGCTAGCTTACGGAACGTCGGTGGTTCTACTCAGGTACCCGTTCGTGTCTGAAATAATGCAAGGAAGGGCACCTGAGGTCTTCCTCCACCAGTAAAGCTGGAACGTTGCGATATGACCTATACTGTGTCGATGTGACGTGAAACCCAAAAACAAACAAACACACTTGTATGCTATATTATGTGAGTATTGCATAAAGATCAAAGGTACTTCTAATATTTTCTGTCAACAAGGAAACGTAAAAACGAACCTGAGGTTTTAATGGTAAGACAGTCGGTTTCCAATTTTTTGTTTACGTTACTTTGGTAGTAGTCATGGCAGTTAGGACCAGGAGCACAATTAACACAAGTCTGAACGATCTTCGATGAAGCGTCACATCCTGTGATACATATATGTGTATATAGCATAAAAGTCCGATTCAGGTAAAATATTGAACAATATTCTTGGTGAAAAGTGTACGATCTAGTATTGAACGAAATGAAAGGAAATCATATATTAGAAATACTTAACGTTATAACAAATAGCTTTCTTTGTTTCTGAATTCAAATTCCCGTCATTGCAATATGTAAATGTTGAATTATGTTAAAACCTGCGGTAGTGGGTTGTCTATGCGTGGTAGCTTTCAAATAAAATTTAATTTTGTAGTTTCGAACGTTGGTTTAAAGTTTTCAAATTTTCTACTTTATTGATAAATTATATTTTGAAATCAGATTCTACAATAGGCTATATACCAATCCCGGAGTAGTGTGTACAGTTGTCACATCACTGACAAAGTGTCTATAATACCATTAGGTTAACAGTTAAGCAAATAATATATATGCATTGCAACAAATGAAGAAAATTGTTTGAATTATCAAATACTGATTTTCTCATCAAGAAGTAGTGAAACTTCATATTAAATTCTAAACAAGAAATTCCTCACCAGGCTAATTTGTTAAAACAAATCTGGCTATTTTAAATTGTAAAATGTTTTCAAGTTTAACAAAAGCATTCCTTCAGTATAATTAACCTGACATACAAATTACTGTAACAGTAAACAAGAACCGAATCATAAAGGTGATAATATTTAGCCTTTACCATCAGTATTGATTCACGCCAGTCTGATATCATTGTCTGCTAATCCCGTTTTATACAAATTTTCAATAATTCCCCAAAATGGATTATAGACCGTTCTATGTATTGAAGCTGGACAAATATTCATTCGTTATATTCAGCTGATGTTTGATAAAACAAAGAAAGAATTTGTAATGTTTTCTTACTATTTTTACGACTTTGGTAAGATTGTTTTCAATTTTTCATACTACTTTTAAAGTTTTAAGGACCAAACGTTATATAAAAATGTGTATGTATCGTACCTGATTCGTTCAAGCATCGTCTTATGATAAAATCATAGCCGGCTGAGACTGCGTAATCGGTACATCCGTGGAAGTTACAACTACAGGATGAAAAACATTCAAACATTAATATACTGTGAAGCCCCCATTGGTGTTTCAAAATACTTACAAAATTCAATAACAGAAATGCATCGTAGCAATCTAGACTATATCTATTTGAAACTCTCAAAAAGTTTGAAAGAATCATAAAATTTCTTTTCAATAATTGTTTAAATTTTCCGAAAAACATTTTTTAACATTCTGTCATGGTCCAACATCTAATTGCTTCTCAAAATTGATGCATTAATACATTTAGCTATATTTACAATCCATCCTTTAATGGTATCTACTTAACTGATAGCGTCATAATAAGTGTCTTTTTCTAGAACATGCTCGGGCAAAAATCGTAGGAAGGTAAATATTTGAATGCGAGGAGGAAACTGATCAAAATTGATGCACAAATGCATATGTATTTCATGTTCGTCACTTTGTCTGGACTGATAGCTTCACTATTTTAAAAGATACAAGTGTCTTGATCTGGAACTTGTACTCTGTCCGTTTAAATTTTGTTGATCACAGGTTATAGGAATGTAAGGGTCGCAGGTGGGGAGGTAAGATACAAGAATCATAATAGGGGAGGAAAGTATCGCATACGAGCAGGAATCTCAAGTGCAATCTGGCCTTCTTTAGTCCATGGAGAGATTAAGTTCTTGTTCAATGGATAATTTTAATTCGTACATAATGAGTAATCATAGCTTTACGATCGACCTATTCAACCGTAATGTAATAACTTTACAACTAGCATCAACATGCTGTACTGATTATTCTGATTCTGATCTATTATAGTTATAGCAACAGAATAATGAAAACGTCACTGAAATAACGTATAGATTTATATGTCTTTAAAAAACGAAAGTAAAAGGAGTACTTGTAATCACACACCTAGCTGAATTCGAATTGTAGGTAACTGCACGACAGTTTACCATGTCAAGGCATTTGCTCATACAATACTCCAAGGTTACGCCCCCAGATAATGTTGATAGCCAAGAACACGAACCACGATGTCCAGGTAATGTGAGGAGTTCAAACTTTGGACAATCTGTTTCAGGAATAAACATTTGCATACAGTAAAATCATTGAAAATTTTTAAAGTGCTAGTAAAAATAACAATACAATTTGAATACAACTCTGGTTGACAGTTTCTGCAGTACAGTTCTTTGTCTCATATTGTGTTCATTATATGGATAATTCATCAAGGGGTGGTATTCCCTGAAGATACTCATATTTCGTTCTAGATATAAACTGCATAGAGAAAAAGTAAGATTAGAAATAAAGATCTACAGTACATTGAAATATTTTCAAATTTAATTTTATTGAAAGCTATATACTGTGTCTTATCTCACCTCATGCTATGTTATTATATATAAAACCTACTGGCATATTTAAACAAGAACGACGATCGATATATTTGTATGAAAGCAATCTTGTTTATAACTCACCCTTTGTTAAGAGATAATAGTTTGCATTGAACGCTTTCCCAAGTGTATCAAAGAAACAAGAATACTGGGTATTGTCATGTGTATTCTATGAGGGTTACTGGGGCATTACCTAAAGTACAGGTCGCTCTGTATACGGTATCTCCAATTTGCTGTGCCACATATGGACATTGTATATACATGTAGCTTGAACCGTTTGCAAAATACCTAAAATATATTAAGAAATTCTAATCATTGATCTGAGCATTCGTTTAAGAGTTAATATATGTAAAAGATTTATTCATCAAATAAAGAACAATAAGAGTTGATGATTTGAGCTTACAAATGAAATGTGATTAAGATAAGTTGCACAAACTTGTTCCACTAAAGTTTTATGCCTAATACAATACATGAATATTTGATGCAACAAATGAAACCGACACTTAAGATATTTCACCAAGGAAACAAAAATCTGTTTCGTTGTCTTGCTCATTGGATCTTACTTAATAATATATGCCTAACTTACCAAATCTGTTCAACATCAGAGTCCACGCCTATGACAGATGTATCTATGTTTAGCGGTTTTGTTTCTAAATTCTGATTGAAAGTTGTTTGACACAGTAACCCAGCTCTACAGTTTACACACATTTGTGTCTGATCCCGTACGCAAGCTGGTTGTTCTGAATTATCGGAATTAATATTAACAAAAACCAAAATCCATTAAGTAACAAAAATAATTGTAAAATCATCATGGTTATCTGAATGTAAAAATGCGCATGTAATATACGCTAAACGTGAATTTTATTTGAGACCCACACCTCCTAGACAGATAGAGGGTAGGCAAGAAATAAACAGAATTTACTCCCTCGATTTGCCCTCGCAGTGCAATAAAGCCAAAACGTGGTTTTTGTGTCGCGAAATGCGGGGATATTTATTTGAAATGTACCCCCCACCCCCAGGGAGCGTGGGTATTGGATTTCGAATGACTGGTTTATTGTTATGTCTGATATTAAATATAGCGTATATATTTACTGTATAACAGACCTTCCATTAAAGACAAATTCATTTTAAACATACCATTTTATCAATTCTCATTTGATTATCTGTTAGAATGGAAACAGACATAAATTGTTTATGCATCTTATTTTAGTAATACGCAGTTTATCTTTCAAATGATGTGTAATTACTATCGCCCTTTGTGATTATATAACTGCGCATTTTAACTCGAACCTTGCATTATTCTAGAATCTTAAACAATGCATTCAAAATTTGATAGCTATCTCCTAACAATTACAAGCGTCCTGTATTTAAAAATTAGAATCCACACATACCATTGACACAAACTCTTTCAATGAAAGTTTTGTAAGGGGATGTCATACTGACGGGTGAGCAACTATTGTCGTGGAAAAGACATGTATTGGTTGATGCGTCAAATGTTGTACCTACAAAAAGTGATAACTACATGTAGTATGAGGAAGTCGTTTTATAAAATATTTTATTCTAACATATGACCAATTTATTGAGGAAATATTACTTTCTTTTTCTTAATACCTATATCTCAGATTGAAAATAATCAACAACCCTGAATTTATTTGTTACCATAAAAAGTCACCTATTTTTTTTTTGATATCGCTTTCGATTTGATGAAACTTTAATAATTATAGATTAAAGCGATATTTTCAAAGAAAATCATAATTCGATACAGAAAATTTGGATTTGTTTTATCATCGCAAGTATTGCAGTAGGTAAGACTAGGCGCAAAATAATCTAGTTCGTTTGTTTGGAAAAACCTCAGCTTAGAAGTTGTGATCTTTCTTGGGCAGTTCTCACCTCGGCAAGTTGGTTTTCCTAGACAACCTTCCAGACAAGACTCAGCACTGGTGGCACCGGAATTGGTTGTAATCACCGGGCATTTACCTTCGTAATCCGTAAAGTAATACACCTCAAACTCATTGCAATCTGTAGAAATTATTTGGTTTTAGTTTTACTGAATGAAAGCGTGAATGAAAAAGCGAAGTTTAGTTTAATGCGTCTAACATGTTGTGGAAAAATTAATGGAATGACGTTGTTATTGACGTCATTTTATCTAATGGTGTTTTTTATGATACCAATGGAAGTCGGTTTAAGGACATCAGCAATACTTATTTTGAAAAGCACTCTATTTTTAATGGACTTAGAAAAAGAAGCGTGCAACCAATATCCTTATCATCATTATTATCCTTCTTTCTTTGTGTGCTATCATAAATATTTGAACCGTGTCATGACAAAACCAACATAATGGGTTTGCGACCAGCATGCATCCGCGCAGTCTGATCAGGATCCATGCTGTTCGCTATCAGTTTCTCTACATGTTATAGGGTTTGTAAGCGAACAGCATGGATCCTGATCAGACTGCGCGGAGGCGCAGGCTGGTCTGGATCCATGCTGGTCGCAAAACCATTATGTTGGTTTTGTCATGACACTGCTCAATTATTGACCAACTCTTATTTTAATTAAACATATAGACATCTCCATATCCGGGTCCTTTCTGTAGGCACCTGTATTGCACTTATTTTGCTTCTGTTCTTGTCAATAGCTGTTTGGTGTTCTTAGTGTGAGTGTCATTTCATAGTCGTGTGTTGGTGATTTTAATATTGAACATTATTGAACATTATTATATATTTTTTTATGAAACTATACAAATAATAATCAATGTCATGAACATAATCTGTAAAAATGACATTAGTTTCGAACTAATTTACGTTTGTTATGACGATACAAAATTACTCGGTGAAAGGAGTGAGCTCACAAAAGTGAATATCGTATGTACGACCCATTTGCTGAAATACAGTTGTAATCACAGCATATATTTATCTGCAAAGGGCAGGACGTGAAGTGTTTGCACACCTACTTCAAGCGAGAAAAACGAGTGCAAACATGACAAAATGGCTTCCGAATCATGAATATTCACAACACCGGCACGTATGTTCTACAGGTAAGTGGGTTTGAATGTTGTTTTGATATTTTTAGTATGCCAAATCCTTAATGCAATGTTTATGACACACTCGGCTTTAGGTGTCAGCTTCCTAACTTCTGTTTTTGACAAAGTTATTGAAGATATAAACTGGTCATGAACATATTTAGCGATTAGACAATTGACATTCCAGGGCGTTTTTATGCTCATTTATACACATTTGTTAGTTATTAAGTTCACCAAACAAGACAAAATATGTTTCTGTAAATACTGTGTAGATGTCTTAATTTGCATTTTGGTTTTGATTTGACGAAAACATTTACACAGTATTTGACAGGAACATATTTTGTATTGTTTGGTGAACTTCAAAACTTTAAGATGTATGGTGGCTGATTTGTGCCATTCGTATTTTCGCTCCAAGGCCACGCCGCCAAGCGAAAAGTCGAACATTAACAAGTTCAAATGGCGGGGCGCGGAGCGAAAACACGCTAATAATTGAGGGCACGGGACAAAGTTAAATAAATAAAACTTCGCCCCGTGGGGGCGCGGGGCGAGATAAAAGAAATAAAACGGCGGGGGTGCGGAGCGAAAACACGCTTATTAGCGCCCCTTTTTCACTCCGCGCCCCCGCCATTTAACTTGTTAATTGTCGACTTTTCGCTCGGCGGGGACGCGTGACAAAAACACGCTTATAAGCAAGGGCGCGCGGTGAAGTTTTATTTATTTAACTTCGCCCCGCGACCCTGCTTATTATCGTGTTTTCGTCCCGCGACCCAGCCGTTTTATTTCTTAAATATCGCTCTGCGCTCCCGCGGGGCGAAATTTTATTTATTAAAATTCGCCTCGCGCCCCCGCTTATTAGCGTGATTTCGCTGCCCCCCCCCCCCCGTCCCGACATTTTGACATGTTACTTTTCGACTTTTCGGTTGGCGGGGTCGCGGTACGAAAACACGCTAATTAGCGGAGGCGCGGGGCCAAGTTAAATAAATAAAACTTTGCCCCGCGATCCCGCCATTTAGCATGTTTTCGTCCCGCGACCCCGCTGTTTTATTTCTTAAATCTCGCTCCGCGCCCTCGCTAATTAGCGTGTTTTCGGTGCCCGCCCCCGCCATTTTAACTTGTTAATTTTCGAAAATTCGCTTGGCGGAGACGCGGGGCGAAAACACAAATGGCACAAATCAGCCACCATAAAGATGTGAATAAATGAGCAAAAATTAAGACCAAAATTGTCACTTGTCAATTCGCAGAATATGTACATGACCAGTTTATATCTCAAATCAGAACAAGGAAGCTGAAAGCCAAAACCGAGTTTGTCATAAACATTGCATTAAGAAATAGGCATATTAAGAACTATCAAAATACCATACAAACCCACTAACCTGTACTGTAAAAATATGTGCCGGTGTTGTAAATATTCATGATTCGGTAGCCATTTCGTCAAGTTTGAACCCGATTTTCTCGCTTGAACCAAGTGTGCAACCACTTCACGCCCTTCCCCTTGATCTGTGTCGATGGTGTGGAACTTGTACGAGTACGAGCTCTCACTTTAGAACCAGGTTTATCAAAAATGTTCAATTTAAACTTGTCTGGACAGGGCAGAGCAGAGGTAATGTTCAGCAAGCTGGCTTTTTTGTTGCAGAATATACGTAGTCCATCTACATGTACAACGACGCGCAGGGTCAATATCGTGTCGAAATAGAAACTCCGCCACAAGAATACACACAGAATTCAAAACGGACGAAGAATATTTTATGTAGGCTGTGCATCAACATTCTGTTGACCAGCCGTGTTTAGTGTATTTGAGTAATATTATACCTTGAGAAAGCTTTTTGCCAAACTCCAACACTTGCCGAAGAACTTCGACCTCACCGTGCATTTTAGAAGAATGGCAAAATAACGCACAACAACGCTTTGCTGAAGTTGTGTTTTCTGTGCTAGTGCACAGTTTGTCTTGTCGCTAATAGGCAATAAACACGAAATTGACCTATGTGAACTCGATCTTTTCCGAAAGTGTCATTAAAGGCGTAAATATTTATCGGATGAAAGGAATTCATGCAGAAGATGTCTTTTTAATTGAATTTTATCTGCTTAAATTTTGATGCAAATATCTTATCGTAATCATGATAAAATCATTAAAATATCGAAGGTGCTTTAAAAAAATATTAAGTGTACAATGAGCAATATCGTTGTTGAAGTCTTCGTCAATTTCCAGTTGCGTTTGCGTTTGTGTCTTAACCTTCATTAGATTTTAATATTCATTTAGACTAAAATCGCTAATATATTTAGTCTTTTCAGTATGCTAAATTGTAAAATCTCGGAGATACATCATCAGCACAATATAAGTTGCAACCCTTCAATATAATATTAGTTAAAACGTCTCGGAAAGATACTTTCAGGAAAAAATAAGTTGCAAAAACTCGGAAATATACTAGTACTTCAGCAAAATATTAGTTACCTTCAGCCAAAGATGAGTTTTAGAATTTCAGAGATATACCTTCAGCAAAATATTAGTTGTTAGATTTCGGGAATATACCTTCAGCAAAATATATGTTTTAAGATCTCGAAAATATACCTTGTTTGTTTGTCTCGACTTACCTAGATTACTGGATTTTCTGTATGCTTTACTGCCTATTTTTTGTCCAATTTTACTGCAATCATATAGCCTGCAATTGCTTGACCCATCGAATGTTGCCACTGTACAGTTTATATTATTGTCACACAACTGCCAGCATTCATAATCACGTGCCACTGGCCACGTGACATTGAAATAAACACTGCATTCCGGTCCTATACCACAGTTATTGCATACCTGATTGGCTAAAATTTGACCTTAAAATAAAACGAAAAGTAAGCACCCAAAGGCACACCCTAGTTAAAAGTTGATGTTTAAAAGTGAATAGATCTATGCCATGTCTAAAAATATATTAAACATTCTTATTTATTGTTTTATTTAGTCTCGTGTATATAAAATATGTATAACACCAGAATACATAAACGCTTTATCAAGTTATACAATTTTTGGTGATCTTATTGAATAAATTCAATTAAGCTGAAATATCGAAACTTAACAAGGAGAAGAACTTACCAGTTATCAGAAAACATATAACTAAGATGCAGGTTGTGTCCGGAATCATGACGTCAAAGCAAATGTTATGTCACGTTTGTTGAAGTACCCTATTAAGGAATATTCAGTTAAAAAGTATAGGAAAATCCTGATTTGATATTACAAAGCTCCTTATTAAATGAAGATAATTATGACTGAATGACTGAATGAATGAATGAATGAATGAATGGATGAATGAACGAATGAATGACCGAACAGATATACCGTAAATAAACAAATAAATGAATAAATAATTAATCAATTGATTAATTAAGAAATAATTTAAATAAATAAATTATTAGTTAATTAATTAATTAATCGAAATTATAAAAATTTAATCATATAATTAATAAATATCCGAAACATTAACGTAACTTTACTTCATAGTTAACACAATTACTTTGTTTGAAGTTTAACGTAAATCTCCCTCAGATGGTAGCATTACAACAAATAAAGATCTCGACATCACGTGACCTCATTAATTATAAGACGCGTAATTTAACAATTTAAACTATTAAATGTTACAAAAGCTATTATTATTAAGCATTCTTATTATAATAAAATACAAAAAAATTATTTTGCGAGAAGCCATGACGTCGAATTCAGTTTCTTTCAAACAGGTTAAAGAAGGTAGGTCAGTTCTTTCTACTTACAAAGGAATATTAATATAACATTGAAAATAAAAAGACTAAATAAATTTGTTTTATCAGTCATTTGCCAGTGACCAAATATTGACATTGTTTAAAAGTCGATTGTAGAGGATTACGTGAAAGAAAACTTTTAATTGCAGTAAAATTGAAATTTTCTGTTCAAATACTTGAAGGAAAAAACTAAATGTCAAATATTATTGCAATTTCTTTTAATTGATCAAATATGGACTAAAATGTTTTTGAATGAGCAAATTGTTGGCAAAACAGGATTGTCCATGATTTTTCTATATAATTTATATATATTGTATAGGCATTTTTATTCGTAACACTGCAAGTTTTTTTAAGTTAAAACTTGTTTGTGAAAACATTAAATAAATTACTTTTGTCATGAATATTTCGGTAAATCAAATATTCATCTCTATCAGTAATACGCCTACACTCTTAAAATATGTTTACGGAAATCTTCGTATTAGATTTTGAGTTCTAGAGCGGTTTCAGTCAAATTTCTCGAGAAACAACGCAATGATAAAACATCGTAATGACTTAATTTACTACGAGGATAGAAGGTGCCGTGTATATCTTTTGTCAAACTCACACAATGGCTCAAAGAAAAAGTGGCTGAAAAAAATGACGTCGAAAGGGTTAAGTTGAATTAAAAAGTGTCATAAAGGTAAATATTTGACTCATAAATTCACTACGTGGCCAATCATCGGATGAAGTTCATTACGCGCACATAATGTTTTCATTAACAAGGACGATATGCGATGAATTTACATTTTCAACAATTAGATTTAGACATATCGTAAATTTTTGTTGTCTACCATTTCCTGGCGTATTCTTGGAGAATGTGAACTTCCCTCTGGACTTTGAGCGTGTAGATAATTATTTGACGTACAACATCACAAGAACTGTTGATTGCTAGTTACGTATTTGCTTCGGATTGTATTTCAGCATTTTTGCACGGAGTTCGTTTATAATAAATTATTTTCATTTTGCAAGAGCAGTTAGTCATTTAATTGTTATGATGATATATTGTTCGTGTATGTAAACATATTAAAGCCCCTAAGTACAATCCGGCAATCTTTCAAGACATCCTTCGTAAAATAAATGTAGAATATTGAATGAGTGCAGATTCAATAAATTGAATAAAATCATATTATGCGAGTCTTAGGCGAACATAGATTTGAAATTGTTTTATTCATCGAGTTTGATAAATTTAGTATTGAATCTATATGAATATGTTATTCTATAAATCACATATCCATACTTAGAACGTTTTACAGTTAAAAACAATCATTTACCTTTGACGATGATTTTAAGGATCTTCTACCGGCTATCGGTACAGACGAGTTTCCTTACAGCTAGATATTCCCGTCTGTGATGAATGCCGCTGAAAATTAAAGCCTCTTTATTCTTATCTAAGTGCATGCCATTGTTAGTCAAATATTATGAAAATAACTTAAATGTGAAGTAATTTGTTTCTCAACCGCGTATTTACTGTTGGCTATATGTAATAAAATTGCCAGTCATGAAATCTAATACATGTACTTTTAACACTGGGTTTCGTTAAAGTGTATGTTAGTCAAGAGTAAATACGTGTACTTTACTCATGAATAGCAAATATAGTTTATTTACACGACTCAGTGAACCTTTCTCGTCATATGTGCCTAGTAAACTACGTAATTCTTGTATAGCCTCAGTGCAGTAGTCCTGGCTCGTTCGTACAGAAGTCCTCGCTCTTGCAGAAGTCCTTTATCGTGCAGTAGTCCTCGCTTGTGCAGTAGTCCTTGCTCGTGCGGTAGACCCCGCCCGTGCAGTAGTCCTCGCTCGTGCAGTAGTCCTCGTTCCTGTCGTAGTCCTGGCTCTTGTAGCAGTCCTTTATCGTGCTGTAGTGCTCGCTTGTGCAGTAGTCCTTGATCGTGTAGTAGTCCTTGCTCGTACAGTAGTTCTTGCTCATGCAGTAGTCCTTGATCGTGCAGTAGTCCATGATCGTGCAGTAGTCCTCGCTCGTGCAGTTGTCCACGTGCCTGCCGTAGTCCTCGCTCGTACAGTAGTCCTTGATCGTACAGTAGTCCTCTATCGTACAGTAGTCCTCGCTCGTGCAGTAGTCCTTGCTCGTACAGTAGTCCTTGATCGTTAAGTAGTCCTCTCTCGTACAGTAGTCATCGCTCGTGTAATAGTTCTTGCTCGTACAGTAGTCCTTGATCGTACAGTAGTCCTCTCTCGTACAGTAGTCCTCGCTCGTGCAGTAAAAAACACATATACGACAGGTTAAGGCAAATTTTGTAAATATTGCCACTCACCGTGATGTAAATTATTTACTGTATAGTTATGTTTGCTACATGATTTGTTGTTTTAAAGTATAAGATGTTATACTGGTTATAAGAAACCTCGGATATAGTGTACAAAAAGTCATGGTCCCGACAAATTCGCTATAATCAAGTGTCACTGCTTATAATTCTTATATAACAGACTCCGAAATGGAATCAGTCAGATATTGTCTGAAACTTTATGAATGAAATAATGGTTTAAAAAGGGCAAGTTTTGTTTGGGTATCGTACAGTTTAAATTTCGACTGTCGTGTTAAATGAATGTAAGAAGTTATAAGCCATAGCAAAAATTAACTGTGTATCTGCTACATTCATAACAATGTTTTATGTTTGGCGGCAAAACCTTTTCAAAATTTCTAAACAATTTTGTTATACATGTACATGTATTAACTTGTTTGGTGACAGCTGAAAAAAGTAAAGAAAATTATATCGTTTTGATCATTAAACATTATAAGTAGTTCGGAATGGAATGAAATTATCAAATCAATGTAAACAACAAAACTGCGTTATTTATTTGCACCAATGTCGGTCATAACGTCCCTCATGAGGGCGTCCGTGGCTGAGTGGTTAAGGTCGTTGACTTCAAACCACTTGCCCCTCACAGCTGTGGGTCCGAGTCCCGACAGGGACTTTGGATTCTTTCATGTGAGGAAGCTATCCACCTAGCTTACGGAACGTCGGTGGTTCTACTCAGGTGCCCGTTCGTGCCTGAAATAATGCACGGAAGGGCATCTGAGGTTTTCCTCCGCAGGTAAAGCTGGAACGTCGCTATATGACCTATACTGTGTCGGTGTGACGTAAAACCCAATCAAACAAACACACGTCTCTATTTACTTAAGAAATTGCTTTTATTTCAATAACGGTTGTGAAAAATATATTTCTGCGCTCTTCTTAGTTATCGTGTTGAGCTACCGAAACGCTCTGGTGCCCGTTCATTATTGTTCTATAAAAAAAGAATAACTCCTACGTAGGAGATAAAACAGCCTTATAATGAATTTATTACGTAGGAGTTTTTCAGGCTTTTCCCTTCCTATAAAAGAGTTATTTTTTCTTTTGTACTGAACATTATGAATTTGCATTAGGGTTCACTGCTCTCCATAAACAAACTTAATCAAGTTGCCTATTTGTGTGATCGTTACAGATTAATTGTTAAATTAAATATTAACCGACATTTTTATTTCAATTAACTTAAATAGGTGAAAAATAACAAAGAAGTACTATCCCATATAAGCTGCCAACGTTAATTCCACACTTAAATTATCAAAATATCATTCACGTTTAGCTATTCTGCTTGCGAATGAATAAAATGTATGCTAACGCTTATTTAAAAAATTAAAATACTCAATTTTAATAAAATATATACGAAACCACTTGATATTATTTTATTAAGGGTTGTCTTCATGGAAACACTGAAATCAGTGATATGACAATTTTGTGTTTCAAATAAATACTTGTGACCTCTGCGTAATGACTTCTTCAATTTCTGAATATCAATGCATATTATACCAACAATGCGGATCAAGGCTCATAACATTGTTTTTCTTATTTATTTATTTTTTATCTATTTATTTAATTATTTTCATTTTATATCACAATATTTAAAGATCCTGTAACTCCAATGTTTTACGGTTTTCTTTCATTAATCTGATGCTCAAAATAAAATTTATCAATATTGTAAGTTCAAAAAAAAAAGTATTATTTGCTCAGATATTGTCGAATTCACATTTATATACATAAAGGGGGTAATTAGAAATCTATTTTCGATAAGCCTAAGCCATTTTTTCAATAAGAAATGAATGCATAGATTTTCATGATTGCTTATAATGCGAATAAGCATATGCAGTACATATTTAACATATTCTTGGATGTTTGGAAATTGTATTAGAAGAATAATTATATACATATATAAAATTCCACTCAAGTGTTGTTACATCATCACACGGCAGGTCAAGGTCAAGTCATCGTAAGTACCAATGATGATTGATTGACCTGTCGTGACTAACTCTGGAGTGTGGCGTTAACAAAGGTCGTTTTTGTTAGAGATGCCGTCGGAAAGCTGATACCTTTGATAGTATAGTCTCCTTCAACTACCCACCAACGAGAGAAGAACAGGTTCAAGGAAGATTCTGCGCGTTGTGACTACTACAGTAGACCGGAATGGACGCTGATAAATCTCGAACATATGGCGCCGAGTATAAACAAACCTATAAACAAAGTTGTTACATCTTTAAATACAAAATACAGGATATTTAAATATAACTTCTGCTACTGACATTATTTCATTTCATTGTAGTGTTATGTAATTAAATAAAGAATGAATTTTAAACTTTGTTTGTTTGATGTAGTTGTTTTTTTCGTTTATTGGTGTTTCAAATATCATTACTATTGATATTATTTGAATACAAAATTATAAATATTGATATCCTGTACCATTTATTTACACACATTTCTATAGATTATTGAAAAAACCTGCGTCATGGTAACATCACTGGAATGATCTGTCAAACGGCTTCACAAGATATTCACCAATTAATGATATACCAATACAACAGCCGATATATAGGGGAAAATTAATTCAAAACAAAAAATGCGTGTGCTTTCTTGATAAAATCAATTTCAAAGATTCAAACAAGTGAACAAAAACAAACGCTTGAGATGGCGTCCTGTTTTGCTTTGACAAATATTGACATGTTATAAAATACAAATGTGTCAGAACGCTGATTATATATTAAACATAAAATAAAAGGGATCTTTATTCGTCAACAGTATAAACATGCGGGCCGAACGAGATAAGGAAACGATAGTTACACTACTTATCCGAATTTTGTACTATATCCGGATGTAAGCACTTATTAAGTGTTCTTTATCCTAATCCGTAAATAAGATATTATTTGGAAGAAAAAGTAACACACACACATACATTCACAAAAATGAGGCCCCCTTTTAAAATTATGAAAGAATGAAGCACTCTACTGATGAAACTGTTTTTTGAACTGTTAATAATTCATTGAATAAAATTGATATTTTTCATTGATTCTTAATAGGAAAAAGTGATACAGTAACGTAAAAAACTGAAATACACTCAACGTCTTTTAACTGTGAAAAGATATTTAATAAATCAAATCGCGACGAATAAATTAAATCCTTATTAATCACAATTCATTGAAACAAATCAACCATAATTATATTTTTATTTGATCTCAACGTATATTTCCACCCTTTTTATGAAGGCATTAAACGTGTATATCCGACAATTTCAGCCAATTCTTTGTCTTCGTGAATTTTATATCTATTTAAAAGCACTAACTTGGCATGACTTTCAATGGTCTAAGTTATTTTTACTTACCAAACACGAAAAATGGCGAACTATGCCGATCATATTTAAGCAAGTTAAGAATGACCGTATTAACTTGATGATATTAGATGGACGAGCCTTTTGATAGAGAAGTCACTTTGAAGATGATCCTATTAACAAAAGATGTATTGTTTACAGAAGCTGGGACAAATCTATGTGAACTCAGGTCAAGTTATATCAAACTTTATATACTTCACGCTCATAAGTGGTTGTTTTAACTACACAAGTTTGAAAAAAATGTTGTTTTCATATATTATCTTTATATAGCTTTTGTTTCAGTTTTAAAGAGCCTAAATGAGATTATTTTGAATAAAACGATGTGGTTTTTTTAAATAGTTTGAGTGTAAATATTGAAAGGAGAAATATATAGTGTTTATTGTTAAGTTTTAAATGCGACACAATAGAAATGTTCCTGAACAGGAATTACATCGGTGTTGCCTTTTGCTTGTCGCTTCAGACGATGTTCTGCATTATACTCACGGAAGCATTTGTTTATGACATGGACGGACATATAGAAATCGCCAAGTATAATAAAGTGACTGGCGAGACATTTGTGACAAAGGGTAATGTTGTTGTGCGTCTATCAGTCGACCTGACAGAGACTGGAAGGTATAAGATAGGGGAGCAATTTGTAAAGGATCCGGAATGCGCACACATTGAACTTGAAGAAGATACTTGCAAAGACATCACAAATACGATCACTGTGATGGAAATTATTGGTGATGATTCAAATACAATGCTATTTTTGTGTTTAAAACTTGGCGAAAATAAGTGTCATACCTTGGACATAGGAAATAATATCACTAAACCTCTCGGAATAATCAACAGCGAGTCGTTTTTTGATACATTTTCAGGTTCATCGCCATCGGCATCGATTTCCATTGAATCTCTAAATAATTCAGACAACCAAACAAAATATCTTCTGTTTACTCATGACATATATCTAAAACAATTGGGCTCTTTGAATAGGAAACCGAACTACTTTTCTGTATTCTCTTTAATTAGAGTCACGGATATCTACACTGACTTGCCAAAAGTCACAATGCTTTCCAACTTAAAGTTACATATCAACCATAACTTTGTAGTCTTAGACGCGTTTCAGGTAAAAAACGCCTATTACTTTGTCGTACGTTACTGGGATCAAAAGAACGACGTAAGCGACTCTGTAATACAAGTTAAAGTAATTAATGAAACCATACAACTCATAGAAACTAGAATGAAATGTAAAGACAGCTACCATGTCAACCAGACAAGCTTACTTGTTGATGGAGACACTCAAATATTATATGCTTTGAATAGCAAAATGGATAACGGCAACAGCAGAACCGTTTGTGAAATAGATGCGCCTTCTTTGGAATCTTATTTTGATAATATTCATGTCGAATGTACCGGTAAAAATAAAGGATCATATCCAAACTGGCTCAATTTAAGTAACAGTGACAGGTCTCGGAGTCCATGTGACCAGGTGATCTTAATATGTTTCCATAAATAATGTTTAATTTCATACTAGATATAAGAATTGCAATGCATGTATATATCTTTAATCACGAATTCATCCATTCATGCATTAAATTGTCTGAAAGGCTCAAAATGTCAAAATGAAGGGTTTTTTTACTTTTACTCTTTCGAGTACAGAAAACAATACCATATTTGAAGTAAATTGAATTACAACATGTATGACTAATTTATTTCACTACTTATCGACTTCAATTATACCATTAAATTACCGATTACCAGGATTCGCCTAGAAAACTTATCATTTCTAACAGAGACCCGGGTTTTCTTTTTGTCCTTTTAACATTTTTTGCTAACTCAAATGGTGAACAAATGCCTTATTTATTCCCAAACAAAAATTGTTTTTGTTTAAGAAAATATGGTTTAAAAAAGTGACCACTTTTTTCGGCGCGGCCCCCAAACAAAGATACATCAGGAGGTTGCCAGGAGGGGGATGTGCCCCCTTCTGTCTGGGGGTTTGAAGGGGGCGGCAGTCCCCCTAATCGCCAAGACAATTTTGGACTTGTGAGAGGCTAAAAATGACCCCAGATCGATCATAAGGTAACGTGTAACCAACGGTGAAAAGCATTTGATTCTATCTCAATCCATTGAGAAGTTGCAGCACTTTGAAATCAATTTTGATGGAAAAAATCAACGCAAAATAGTGATTTTTGGCAATTTTGAGATGTCCCTTCGTTGCCATGGTAATCGGTGTGATTCTTATCAATTTTTCTTGCAGAATGTCGTTTCTGTTCAAGATTTTATTTTGATTTAATTCTTAAATACCTACATATAAAACCCAATAGATTTTACACTTAACAGGAAATTTAAGCCTGGATATGCTGTTACAAAGACAATGGTCCAATCAACATGTGTGCCAAGTTTGATTAGAATTGAAGCAGTTTTTATAGTTTTATAGTTTCCTGTAACGGGACACTTTTCAATGAAATGCTCATGAAGTAATGGGTTAACAGAAAATGCTAAAAATTTTAAGAATTACCCAAAATCGAGTTGTTCTATGTTAAAACACGGCCATACAATACTTTTGGAGAAAAATTGTTGTTTTGGGCATTTTTTTTTTCATTAACAGAAAATGATGAAAAATATTGGAAAGACCCAAAATCAAGTTTTTCCATGTTAAAACAGGCCTTACACAAAATTTTGAAAATAAATTGTTGTTTGGGTCATTTTTAAAGTTGTTTATATAATTGTTCATTTATCTATCTTTTTAATTTTTTTGTTAGCTTTTCACCACTGTAATCGGTGTGATTCTTATCAATTTTTCTTGCAGAATGTCGTTTCTGATCAAGATTTTATTTTGATTTAATTCTTAAATACCTACATATAAAACCCAATAGATTTTACACTTAATTAAAAGGATATAGGAAATAATGTGGGATTTTTTTCTCTGGCATATTTTGTACAATAAATTGCAATAAATACATATTTGTACTATATATATACAGTCGTAATGTCATGTTACCACAATCAACAAGATCGTTTGTGAACATTATCATATGAGCCGTGTCACGACAAAACCAACATAATGCGTTTGCGGCCAGCATGGATCTAGACGAGGCTGCGCATCCACGCAGTCTGATCAGGATCCACCATGCTGTTCGCTATCAGTTTCTGTACTTGTTATAAGAGTATAGAAGCGAACAGCATGGAACGCGGATGCGCAGGCTGGTCTGGATCCATGCTGGTCGCAACCCCATTATGTTGGTTTTGTCGTTACGCGGCTCATATATTAATTTACTATTTTACAGGCAACTATTGTGTTATCACCTTCAACTCTTTATCTAAGACAGACGACACGCTCTTTCAGCCTACATGGACATTTTGTTGCTATGGAGTCATTGACTGATGATAACGGGACAGCGTTGTTTTTACTGAGACATGATATGTTCCTGAAAAAGGTAAAACACAGGAAATGTCCATCAAGGTTTCGGACTCTTACAGCAGATAATATCTGTAGTATTATGCAGGTCAATTCTAAATTGTATGATTAGCATATAATTCAAAAACCAATTTAATCTAGTATACACATGAATAGACTTATAGCCAGACCGATCAGCGTTCTAAGCAGCTTGCTTTTCGCTGGAACTAATTATTTATAATGTTTAAATAATCAAATTCAAATTTGAATCTGGGTTTTCTCATTACTGGTAAAACCTTCAAGATCTAAAAATCACAGAAGGGCAAAAGATAGAAAAAGTTGTTGAAAATCGCAAAATTGACTCGGTTTGAACAAATCTGTTCGTAGGAGAAAATGATAATTGCACCATATTATATACAATCTAGCACCGGCTTGTGATGGTTATGAACCGAAAATACAATTACAATTATATGACTTTAAAGCATATTGAGTTATTCTTTATAATACAGTCAGGTTACCGCCGCTACTGCACACATTATGAATTCGGTTTAATATATAAATTGAAACTTATGATTATGTCAATTGATGAAACCGTTTTTTTAGTATTTTTGCAATTTTGGCCAATATAATCATCTTAAATCAGCGAGAATATAATACAATTATTAGAGAAGAATTCATATAATTATATATAATTCTGATCAAAATTAAAACGAAGCAGATGATAATCTAGTTAGTCGGTGTTTTTCTGCAATAGGAAACTAGACCTAGTTTTAACAAACACATATATTCCATATTGCAGCAATCGATTTATCTAAGTATTAAATGGATGACAGAAAAATAGCATTCATTATTAAATGATATTCATCGTAATTTGGAAATTTTAATGTTATGTGTTCCTTATTAGAATATTGTTTTCTGACCGATAGATTCAAAAACAATTGCACATCTAGTCTTATAAACTACTGTGGGTTGATATCAGCTGAAATTGTATTAGAAGTCATGTAACAAAAATCTATATAAATTGAATTGCAATGCTTTCCTGAAAATAAACTTTCTTTTACATCTTATTAGAATAATTGTTATATACCCATACCCGATAAAGATATTCAAAAAGACAATATTTGTGGCGGCACGATCTAAGTACATGTATATACTAAGCTGCATGGGTTCGATCCACATCAGGCGCAAGCAGTTGTATATAAGAAGTACATGCACTAAAATAAATTCTATATAAACTTAGAATTCAGCACCATTGCTTTCCTGAAAAACAACACTGTGGTGCGAAATTCTCATTCTTAGATTTTACGATGTTTATATTCAAGACTAAAATATTGTGTAAGTATATACCCAGGAAATAAAATATCTAATTGAGTCAATAAACAATCACCCAATATGAGTGTTAGCTTGCATTTATACGATGTTTTGTTGTCGCTATATGCTTCTGTCTACTGCATTATTTTACATAGGATAGCTTTTGTTCGAGAACTTTATTTCTTTTCTGTTTTTTTACATACGTCAATAAATGTGCCGTGTCATGACAAAACCAACATAATGGGTTTGCGACCAGCATGGATCCAGACCAGCCTGCACTATCAGTTTCTCTACTTGTAATAGGGTTTGTAAGCGAACAGCATGGCTCCTCATCAGACTACGCGGATGCGCAGGCTGGTCTGGATCCATGCTGGTTGCAAACCCATTATGTTGGTTTTGTTATGACACGGCTCAAATCTGTATTTAGATTGTGTCCTTGAAAACGAGAAACTGTTCGATGAACAAAAACATGACGATGTGCGTTAGAGATACCAGTGACTGTGTTTGGTGTAAAGTGAAGGAACCTACCCGTCAACAGTATTGTGTGGAACGTTCCTTATGTGATGACGCTGTCACAGAGATAGATTTAAATGTAATAATTATCTCCCCCTCACTTTCAATTCGTTATTAATTAAAGAAGGAAAAATGGAGAATATTTACTGTTATTTTTTATATTTTTATTACGGTGCTTTTTAGATCATTGTTTTTATTTTTATCATCCTAGTTTTGCCAAATTAATTATCAGCGAAACTTCGTGTTTCTCTGATGTCTGCAATTAAACAAGCATTAATTTTCTAACAATTATGGGGTGTATATTCAGGCTAAAAATGTTGCAATAAAAATGTAAACAGATAAATAGCTTGTGAAATTTATCAATAAGAAATATTTTGACGTAGTATATTATTGGTGTATATTTTATTTACATTTGGCGCATACGTATGGTGCTGAATTGGAACGCTTTTGTGTGTCGCTAGCGACAGTACTACAAAGCGCCAAACGGCGTGTTGTCGGACTTTCATCTTGTCGTCCTGTCGCTAACGATGCTAACCAAACGGCGCGTTGTCGTGCGGCATGTTATCGCGATGTCACATTGTCGCTCGGCTCAAATCGAAGGATTGGCTTATAAGTCAAGCGACAGGACGATATCGCAACAACGCGCCTTATGACAACACGCCGTTTGGCGTGCTTAGCTGAAGATAGGACGACAAAACGACAGTGCGACAATGTGCCGTTTGACTCGTTTCGCTAGCGACAAGACGACAAGACCAAAAGGCGATATAGGTTGTGTTGTCGCTAGCGACAACGCAACGCGCAAAGTTTACCAAATCAGCCACCATAAAACTTGCTATATTTGTTTTATCTTTTCTACAGGAGAAGCAATTAACGGCTTCATACATTCAACCAACGTCAGCCGACATAAAAGGTGGCACCTTTGTCGAAATCCATGGAACAAACTTAGATTTGGCTTCAAACACAAGTGTACTTATTAAAAACAGCCCGTGCACCAATTTACGGTAATGCTATGTTAAAACTTGTTTAATGCAACATTAAGATTCTAGTATTATTTATTGGCTTATTGTCTGTATTTTGTTCTCCAATCAGATTGTGTATTACTTGAATTAACTAAAAGGGAACTAAAAGTGTATGTTGACAGACAATTCATTGCAACATTCCCAGGGAGTACGACAACACTACTTGACACTTTCGTTGAGCGTCATTTCCGTTCATTTTATCACAAAGCTATTCATTCAAAAAAAAATAAACATAATTCTTGTATAAAAACAACAATATTCTTTCATTCTATTGGCTTTAGGCCAAATGAATTAAGTTTACTTGAACCGTGGAATGGCTATTTTTTAAACTGATGCTAGATTATAGTGTATGAGCCATAATTCATAAGATAAATGTTATTATCGCTAGCCATATGAGTTCAAACCCCGCCAGGGACAAGTCGCTGTTTCCTTGAGGAAGAAACTTAACACTCTTTGCTCAGTACTTATTTGTTCCAGGAACAAATTCGAAAGTGTGTCTATAAGCTTATAGCTTTCTGCACAATCGAACTAAAATAAATTCTGTATAAACCAAGATCTTATATCACATACAGCTGATAAATGCTAGAAAACAAATAAACCAAGCCTGATAGATTCACTTAGCCTTTTCATACTTTAAAAGCAACACTTTGTTTTATGACAACTCTATTCCCGTGTCTTCTACAGTGTGGTCAGTGAGTTTTACCTTATTTGTGAAGTCCCACCCTTCGATTATGGCAGGGATTCTCATAATGTAACTATGAATGTTCACCTGGATGGAAAATATTTTCATTTTCCTTTTACCTACCGGAAGACGCTGGTGCCAACACGTGTACATCCAATCAAAACGATTGAAAGGTATAACATTGCATCGTATTTCTGTCATTGTTGTTTTGTCCATATTATTTCCGTAATTGTTCTTTTGTCCATTATATTTCTGTCATTGTTCTTTTGTCCATCAGATTTCTGTCATTGTGCTTTCTCCCATATTATTTCTGAAATTATGCTTTTGTCAATCATATTCTGTCATTGTTCATTTGTCCATTATATTATGTCATTATGCTTTTTTCCATCTTATTTCTGTCATTGTTCTTTTGTCCATCTTATTTCTGTCATTGTTCTTATGTCCATCTTATTTCTGTCATTGTTCATTTGTCCATCTTATTTCTGCCATTGTTCTTTTTTCCATCTTATTTCTGCCATTGTTCTTATGTCCATCTTATTTCTGTCATTGTTCATTTGTCCATCTTATTTCTGTCATTGTTCTTTTTCCCATCTTATTTCTGTCATTGTTCATTTGTCCATCTTATTTCTGTCATTGTTCTTTTGTCCATCTTATTTTTGTCATTAATCTTTTGTCCATCTTATTTCTGTCATTGTTCTTTTTTCCATCTTATTTCTGTCATTGTTCTTATGTCCATCTTATTTCTGTCATTGTTCTTATGTCCATCTTATTTCTGTCATTGTTCATTTGTCCATCTTATTTCTGTCATTGTTCTTTTTTCCCATCTTATTTCTGTCATTGTTCTTTTGTCCATCTTATTTCTGTTATTGTTCTTTTGTCCATCTTATTTTTGTAATTGTTCTTTTTTCCATTTTAATTTTGTCGTTGTTCTTTTGTCCATCTTAATTCTGTCATTGTTCTTTTGTTCATCTTATTTCTGTCATTGTTCTTTTGTCCATCTTATTTCTGTCATTGTTCATTTGTCCATCTTATTTCTGTCATTGTTCTTATGATCATCTTATTTCTGTCATTGTTCATTTGTCCATCTTATTTCTGTCATTGTTCTTTTTTCCCATCTTATTTCTGTCATTGTTCTTTTGTCCATCTTATTTCTGTTATTGTTCTTTTGTCCATCTTATTTTTGTCATTGTTCTTTTGTCCATCTTAATTCTGTCGTTGTTCTTTTGTCCATCTTAATTATGTCATTGTTCATTTGTTCATCTTATTTCTGTCATTGTTCTTTTGTCCATCTTATTTTGTCATTATTGTTTTGTCCATCTTATTTTTGTCATATTCTTTTGTCCATCTTAATTATGTCATTGTTCTTTTGTCCATCTTAATTCTGTCGTTGTGCTTTTTTCCATCTTATTTATGTCATTGTACTTTTTCCATCTTATTTATGTCATTGTGCTTTTTCCATCTTATTTCTGTTTTTGTTCTTTTGTCCATCTTATTATTGTCATTTTTCTTTTGTCCATCTTAATTCTGTTATTGTTCTTTTGTCCATCTTAATTCTGTTGTTGTGCTTTTTTCCATCTTATTTATGTCATTGTGCTTTTTCCTTCTTATGTCTGTTTTTGTTCTTTTTCCCATCTTAATTCTGTCATTGAGCTGTATGCCGTCATATACATATATGCTTAAAGTAATAAAAGTAATATATTTGTGAATAAATGAAGTTACGTGCGTGTAAAAAGTTGGAACCTTTCGCCCTAGGTGCGTTTAATGTTTGTGTTGACACTATAGGACAATGTGTTAATAGCATTCAAAAACTTAGTATTTGTTTGATAAATGTTTAATAGAGCTTTATGTTAGAATTTCATTTAATATTTAAAAGGGGTTAAATTTATTTTGTACACAAATATCTTGCTTTCTTGTATACTGTTTTATTGATTTGATTATGTAAATTTTAGTGGAGGGATTAAAATTAAAATTGAGGCAGACGATCTGGCGGTACAGGACAGTTATTATTTGACAACGATCAACCAGAATACGTCATTAGGAGCACAGGTTCGATTTTTTAATTGAATCTACCGTAATGATTAATTAAAAATCAATATTAAATAGCAAAATTTCTTTTGTACCTATTTTATGTGAACAGTCACCAGGTTTCTCTACAACGTAAAATCAACCTAACGACATTAAGAAAAAAGAAATACAAAGCTATTACAACTAAGTCATTAAATGACTTGATTACCTTCAAATGTATCTGTAATAGAGTCATTTACTTAATAACTCATGTTAAATAAAGTATTTTAAAAATTTGGATTATTTGTCAGAAGTATCAAGTATTAATAAGCCTAAACAATATCGTGAATCGGTAAAATTATATTAAAACTCTAATACCATCAGGTTAATACCAGCACGAATCCGGTAATCCTTTACTATAGGATAACGATACAACCGGCAACAAAAAATCTTATTGTTTGAAATGAATATCCGTTTCACATCCGTTTCCATCATTGACTCATCAACACTTTCGCTTCCGGATTTCGTTACTTCATCCGCCGATTTATATTAAGATCCGTCCTTAATCAAATAATAATTTAAAAGTTTTTAATATTACAGCCAACAAGTATTCGATAACTACTCTATCATCATTGCCAATAAACAAAGCAGTAAGGCCTGGCGAAACCACTCATAAAATAAACTCGATTTAGTATATATATGCTCCCCTTTACTTTTTTTACTAGAAAATTCCATGAATGTATTTTTTTTCAGAATATTTGGATATTTGCAAAAGTAAACGCACCGAAACTTCATCGTCCAACTTTACAGACCAATTTCATTTATAAGCGGTTAATATTATACTAGCTATGTCCCTCGGTCAACATGACATTATTTCTTTGATTATAATACTGCACGTTGTACATAACGTCGTTTTTCATTGAAAAATCTATGGGCTCAGGTTATATTTGAAAACAACCGTTTATATAGGGTCATATAACTTATCAAAAATCTTAATAACTAATAATATATCATCATATGCCATGGCTCATTAGTCAGTAATTGTATAATTTTCCTCTCCAGCTAATAAACCCCCACCCTTATTAAAGATCCTATAACACAATTTTTGTATGGTCTTGTATCATAAATATGACGCTCAAATTAAGATTTATCAATTTTAATCAAGTTCCAAAAAGCATTATTTATAAAGATATTACCGAATTTAAAGCCTCAGTCTCACTTACTCCCGGCAGAGCCGAGGATCATCCCGGTAAGTTACCGGGATGATCCGGGACGATCCGGGGTGAAATTATTGTTGCGGTCACACTTACCCCGGCAGCACTACGGTAGTTCTCAACTAATCACCCAGGATGCGCTCCGGATCATCCAGGCAGAGCCCAGGTGCAGCTACGGTTCATGCCGGTGCTTCCCCGGTCGTTCCCGGATGACGCCGGAAGAGCCCCGGTTGACCCAGGCAGAGCCCCGGTCGATCCAGGCAGAGCCCCGGCAGAGCCCAGGACGATCCAGGCAGAGCCCCGGTAGAACCCCGGTGGATTGAAAACGCCCGAAAATGATAACATTGATACATAATTTTTATTTAGTATAATATCTATTGTACCAGAATAGTTATTCATGATGATTTTCTGAAAAATCCTGATGCCATACTGGATAGAAGGGAAATGAGAGGGGTTTTAATACCAGCAAGTGCAATCATCGCAAATTGTCGTTATTCTTTTGAAATGATCCGGGCTTTGCCGGGGCTCTACCGGGATCAACCGTAACTCTACCTTTATCATCCGGGGCTCTGCCTGTAGTTGCCGGGGCTCTGCCGGCATTTTCCGGGGCTCTACCGTAGCTCTACCGTAGCTCTACCGGCTATATCATACCCCGGATCATCCCCGGTTTGTGCCGGCAGAGCTACGGTGCTTCCCCGGTATAACCCCGGTCGTTCCCGGCAGAGCTAAGGATGAAGCCGGCAAAGCTATACCTTCCCGGATCATCCCGGACCATCCCGGTGATATTAAATATTTTATTCCATCCGGGATCGAATGCCGGATGTTCCCGGATCATCCCGGATCATCCAGGACGTTGCCGGCAGAGTTACGGATGTACTCCGGTTGTTCCCGGTCGTACCCCGGTCGTTCCCGGATCACCCCGGACGTCTACCGGGGCTCTGCCGGGATGTAAGTGAGACTGTAGCTTAACATTTCATGTAAATAAAGGGAGGTAATTAAAAAATTTTTTTCTATAAAGTCTAAGTCAAATTTTTCAATAAGAAAAGAATGCATATATTTTAGTGATTACATGTAATATGAGTACATATTTTACATATTTTTCTATGTTTGAAAATTGTTTTATAAGCATATTAATTATATACATATATATAATTTCACTTAAGTGTGGTATACAACCTCAATTACCACATACAGGATCTTTAAATAGAGACTATTAAAGTTTTTTCTATAAATACAGGACTTACTTTCATCGAGTTGTATGAAAATAAATAGTTCATGAGTTGAGGTAGCCACGAGTGAAATATGATCACTTTTATACCACTAGATGAAAATAAATTCTGTATTTATAGAAAAAAAAACTTGAATTTTCTGTTTATTTTATACATTTTTATCTTTATTGACATGACAATTGGTAAGACTTCGCCTTACATTCTGTAAATTGGCTGTATTTTGAAGAAAGGCAAGACACCATTGAAAATACGGCAAATATGTTTCATTGCAGTGAAAAAAAAATACAGTGGAAATACGGAAATTGAAAATACACGTTTTATTTCATCAATATTTCTCAACATTTCATTTATATGTATATAATAAATGATATATCCAACTAGATCTTGGTATCCGTCAAAATATTTCCCGTATTGTACACAGTACTGAACAGTCTCTAATCGGTTAGTTTATCATTTTACAGGTTTCGATGAAATGTAACGTTAGTGTGCTCAGCACCAAAAGCCTTAAATGCGTGACCCCTCCAGTCTCAACTTCAATTCCAAATTCCGTATCGTTTGCCTTGTCGTTAAGGCCTCTTGTTGTACCATTTCAACTGAGGAGTTACTCGATTATAAACTTGACGGTGATGCACGACCCTGTTATCTATTCTAAGATGATAAATAGAGACACGTCAACGTTAATAATAAGCGTAAGTATATAAGAAATTAGAGCCGCGTCATGACAAAACCAACATAGTGGGTTTGCGACCAGCATGGATCCAGACCAGCCTGCGCTTCCGCGCAGTCTGATCAGGATCAATGCTGTTCGCTATCAGTTTCTCTACTTGTTATAGGGTTTGTAAGCGCACAGCATGGATCCTGATCAGACTGCGCGGATGCATGTTGGTTTTGTCGTGACATGGCTCATTAAGATATTAACATTTTCTTAATAAAAGGCTACATCAACTTTAATTATAAGGGTAAAACATCGGGTTAGAGGTAATGAATCAATTGTGGTTTAGTAAGTAAATAACTTGATAACACTATATGGTTCGTAATGAAATTAAAAGTCAGTTTACGTTTCAATTTGAAACAATTTACCACTACTCAAATCGTCGAAATATTGTTTGGTATGGCGTGCAATTTTGTCACAGAAACATTCTCTTTTCTATGTGCGGTCAATAAAAAACGCATGCAATTATCTTAAAAAAAATTGTTAACTACCTATTTCTTTTTTTTTTCAGGGAAAAGGGTTTACATCTATAGACAAATCAGAAATTCGCGTGACCTCTGACACAAATGGACATCTAAAAATAGATACTTTATCAGACAACAAGATGGAATGCAAAATAGCAAAAAACAAAACCTCACATCATATTTCGGTATCTCTAATTTTATTATATTCAAATCGCATGTCCTTTAGCACTTTAGCAATACTATGATCTTTCAATCAAGGATAATAAGAAAGGTCCGAAAGACTTTCAAAATATGACATTAAAAACAATCTATATACAATTATACATTTTATATCACTATTTTTCAATAAATGATTTGAATAAGATAGCAACAACAACAACGATGACTAATAAATTGTAATGGTAATAAATTGTAATGGAAATAACTTTAGTGATGATGATGATGATGATGATGATGATGATGATTATGATGATGATGATGATGATGATGATGATGATAGGGTTGGTGAACATGGTGATAATTTTGATGATAATTATGAAACAACAATAATATCCTCTATCGGACAGACGTAGGCTTCACAATGTATATGTACTTCACTGTACTGGACAAATTTGAATGTCTGGAAACGGAATCCGAAAGCGTAAGCGCTGAACCGTCTCGTCAATAATGCATCTACAATAGATATACAAGACTGGTATAAATGTCAACCGAAATACCTGTCCGAAAACTCCATGCAATATTTAATTATAAACTAAACCTCCTTTGTTTAAAATAATAATAATAATAATAATAATGATTAAAATAATAATACTTAAAAAAATGATGATGATGATGATGATGGTGATGATGATGATGATGGTTATGAGTTGTGATGATGATTTAAAATGGTGACACGCCACCCAAACAGCCTTGGCTTCGTTTTTATGTTGTTGTTTTTTTAAGTTTATTACGCTTTTTATCCCTAAACTTTAAATTTGAATTTTCAGATACGTTTTGGAAGCAATTTGGTATACTATCCAGGCTTTGTCGTCTTTGAAACTGACTACAACGACACGACATCTCCTAGTTCCGACTATAGTGACCTTATAACCATGACCACGGAAACAACGCAGTCCTTACAGTCCACAAAGCCAGGGGAGGCAACAATGAAACCAGAAAGTTCGGAAAATTTAGCGCTTATTATCTCCCTTTCTAGCGTTGTCGTCTTCCTTGTAGTCGCATCATTTGCGTGCAGACGAAAAATATTCAAAATCTTCAAGCATAGTCAGCACAGGTGTGTATAAGACTAGAGATTTTATCTGTAAATATTTGTCTGCATTTTTGTATTGTATGAAACATATTTCTATGAAATATAATGATTATGGCTATATATATATAAAAACAACAACAACTTAAAATGATTTAATGTAATATAACAAAAGTTAAGATAATTCACCCTTAACATACATACGTTGTGTTACAGATTTGACCTGCTTTTAATTCGGAAGATTCTATTAAGATTTAAACAGATTTCAATCCATATTTCTATTCATAATGAAAGAGGCCCGTATCAAAATACAAAAAAAAAATAATGTGTTACTTAACAGTATAGATCCTACTCCACATGCTCGTATGTGCAATTAGCCGGTTTCTTAACGGTGGCTTTCGTTTCCAGCAGCTTAAAGAATTAAAAGAACTTTTAAAATACACCCCCTAGGACACAGCATAATACGATAGAACTTGAATTAAAAAAAGTTATATATATATATATATATACATAAATATATATATTGTATATGATAAATCACGGTGAAATAAAGTATACCTATATTTCAATTTATTAAAAACGATATGATAAAATAACATCATAAAATACTAGTATAATATGCAGTAAAATGATATGACGAAATTGACATGATGAAATACTAGTAGGATATGGTATAATACGATATTACAAAACTGATTAATGAAAGACTAGTATGATTTGATAGAATATGATATGACAAAATTGATATGATGAAATATAAGTATGATATAATATATCATGACATATTGACATAAAGTTTGAAATGATAGAATGTGATATAACAAATTGACATTATTAAAATACTGGAATGATTTTAAAGAAATCGACAGGATGAAATATTAGTATGATATGATATAAAAACGATATGACAGATTGACTAATGAAATACTAATATGAAATGATAGAATATTATTATATGACACAATTGACATGATGAAATAGTGGCATGATAAGATAGAATATAATAATACGACACAATTGACATGATGAAAAACTGGTATGATAATGATAGAATATTATTATATGACACAATTGACATGATGAAATACTGGTATGATTTGATAGAATATTATTATATGTCACATTTGACATGATGAAATACTTGTATGATTTGATAGAATATTATTATATGTCACAATTGACATGATGAAATACTGGTATGATAAGATAGAATATAATAATACGACACAATTGACATGATGAAATACTGGTATGATATGATAGAATATCATTATATGACACAATTGACATGATGAAATATTTTTATGGTAAGATATGATAGAATATTATTATATGACACAACTGACATGATGAAATACTGGTATGATTAGATGGAATATAATTATATGTCACATTTGACATGATGAAATACTGGTATGAAATGACAGAATATTATTCATGACACAATTGACATGATGAAACACTGGTTTTATATGATAGAATATTATTGTATGACACAATTGACATGATGAAATACTGGTATGATATGATAGAATATTATTATATGACACAACTGACATGATGAAATACTGGTATGATTTGATAGAATATTATTATATGACACAATTGACATGATGAAATACTTGTATGATATGATAGAATATTATTATATGACACAATTGACATGATGAAATACTGGTATGATAAGATAGAATATAATAATACGACACAATTGACATGATGAAAAACTGGTATGATAATGATAGAATATTATTATATGACACAACTGACATGATGAAATACTGGTATGATTTGATAGAATATTATTATATGTCACATTTGACATGATGAAATACTTGTATGATATGATAGAATATTATTATATGACACAATTGACATGATGAAATACTGGTATGATATGATAGAATATTATTATATGACACAATTGACATGATGAAATACTGGTATGATATGATAGAATATTATTATATGACACAATTGACATGATGAAATACTGGTATGATATGATAGAATATTATTATATGTCACAATTGACATGATGAAATACTTGTATGATATGATAGAATATTATTTATGACACAATTGACATGATGAAATACTGGTATGATATGATAGAATATTATTATATGACACAATTGACATGATGAAATACTGGTATGATATGATAGAATATTATTATACGACACAATTGACATGATTAAAATACCAGTATTATATGAAAGAATATTATTATATGACATTTTGACACGATGAAATACTTTTATGATATGATAGAATATTATTATATGACACAATTGACATGATGAAATACTGGTATGATATGATAGAATATTATTATATGACACAATTGACATGATGAAATACTGGTATGATATGATAGAATATTATAATATGACACAATTGACATGATGAAATACTGGTATTATATGACACAATTGACATGATGAAATATTTTATGATATGATAGAATATTATTATATGACACAATTGACATGATGAAATACTGGTATGATATGATAGAATATTATTGTATGACACAATTGACATGATGAAATACTGGTATTATATGATAGAATATTATTATATGACACAATTGACATGATGAAATACTGGTATTATATGATAGAATATTATAATATGACACAATTGACATGATGAAATACTGGTATGATATGATAGAATATTATTATATGACACAACTGACATGATGAAATACTGGTATGATTTGATAGAATATTATTATATGTCACATTTGACATGATGAAATACTTGTATGATATGATAGAATATTATTATATGACACAATTGACATGCAAAATACTGGTATGATATGATAGAATATTATTATACGACACAATTGACATGATTGAAATACCAGTATTATATGAAAGAACATATTATATGACATTTTGACACGATGAAATACATTTATGATATGATAGAATATTATTATATGACACAATTGACATGCAGAAAAACTGGTATTATATGATTGAATATTATCATATGACACAATTGACATGATGAAATACTGGTATTATATGACACAATTGACATGATGAAATATTTTTATGATATGATAGAATATTATAATATGACACAATTGAAATGATGAAATACTGGTATGATATGATAGAATATTATTATATTATACAATTGACATGATGAAATACTGGTATTATATGATAGAATATTATTATATGACACAATTGACTTGATGAAATACTTTTATGATATGATAGAATATCATTATATTACACAATTGACATGATGAAATACTGGTATTATATGACATTTTGACACGATGAAATATTTTTATGATATGATAGAATATTATTATATGACACAATTGAAATGATGAAATACTGGTATGATATGATAGAATATTATTATATTATACAATTGACATGATGAAATACTGGTATTATATGATAGAATATTATTATATGACACAATTGACTTGATGAAATACTTTTATGATATGATAGAATATTATTATATGACACAATTGACATGATGAAATAACTTTTATGATATGATAGATAGATGAATATTATTATATGCACACATGATGATACTTTTTGAATAGTATGATAGAATATCATATATGACAGACTGATGATGAAATACTGGTTTGATAGATAGAATTATTATTATTGCATACTTTATGATATGATAATGTTATAATGAAACAATTGACTGATGATATACATGATTATGATAGAATATTATTATATGACACAATTGACATGATGAAATACTGGTATGATATGACAGAATATTATTATATTAACAATTGACATGATGAATACTGGTATGATTGATAGAATATTATATATGACACATTTGACATGATGAAATCTGTATGATTGATGATATATTATGACACAATTGAATGATTAAATACTAGTATCATATGATAGATATTATATGACATTTGACACGATGAAATACTTTTATGATATGATAGAATATTATTATGACACAATTGACATGAAGAAATACTGTATGATATGATAGAATATTATTATATATACAATCGACATGATGAAATACTGGTATGATTTGATAGAATATTATTATATGACACATTTGACATGATGAAATGCTGGTATTATGTGATAGAATATTCTTTTATGACAAAACTCACATGGTGAAATACTGGTATTATTTATGGTGTAATGATCATTAAACTAAACATGTTACATTATGTGAAAAGATGATAGTATCTGCTGTTTCAGAGACATTAGCTCATTTTTTGATATATCATTTGATATATGATTTTTTCCATAGACTTGATCGAGACCGGCCATCTATCGTCAGTTACCGAGCACAAAGAGTTTTCTTAGGAGACCTGGGAGGACAACAAAGTCTGTCGGTGTCGGACGCTTATACTGACGACCCTTTGCTTACAGGTAACTAACTAACTAACTAGTTCTTTGATGAGGGTCCGTTTTGTAGGATAAATAGACTTAAACTGTAATTAAGAATATATATTTTCCCAGCTAATCCGTATGTACAAACAAACTTTTACTGTTACAGCTTCGGAAATAAGAACAAAAGGTTTGACAGGTATTGTCCAACAATATTGACCTGGCACTTCATTAATTTCCATAAAGGTCAGGTGATAAACATTGGTATCTAACGAATATATCGATATCTTTGTAAACTTCACACGCCAATGAGTTGTGGTGTATTGGTATAGATTTCTGACTACTGATCTGAAGTTCTCTGTTTCGATACCTTACCAACACCACGTTTTAGTTATTTTGAAATTTACTTGCAAGAATTAATTTGATATCGTTTTACTTCATCTGGTTTTTAGGATACCTTTTAAGAAGTGATTATTTATACATTTTATTTTTTATTTCTTTACATTATCTTTCATAAAAAGGACAGCGCGTTCATAATACAAGTTAAAAATACTACACAGATAGAATACACACATAAAAATCAAAACGTTTTGCACGAGTTAAGAGAGAAATGGCAATTTTAAAATAAGAAAAGAAAAAATATAAAAGTGGCTGATTCAGGATTCGAACGTATGAACGTAAGTCTATATTCTTGAAGTAAAAGCCCTTAACGACTGTGCTAAGAGGGATTTATAATTTGGACCATTTAACAACTGGTTATATTTATATCGATTTACAAGTAGATCGTAACGTTTACGGAATTTACCGATTATAGGGTCAAATACAAGAGTGACAAGTCAATGTTGTTGGACAATAGTGCAACTTAAAGCTATAATGGTAAAAGTTTGTACTTACAGATTACCTGGGGAAAACCCACTTTTGCCGGGTTCCGGATAATATCTATTGTAAACTATTTTTTTTTTGTTAACGATATATTATCTAGTAGAGTAGATACTAGAAGTTTTACTGTATGAAATGCTCCGAATTAAGTTTTACTGTCATTATTAGCTACATATTATGTTTGTTACCAGGTAGTAAAATTGCAGAAAAAAAACATGCTGATTATTGGCATTATGCCTGAAAGTGAGTTACTAATTCACTTTGATTGATAGAGCCATTCATATTTTCGTGATTTTAAATGTATGCTAACACAAATGAAGATCGAAGACAGTTGGCATACAAATATTAAATATTTTTATAGTTGTCAATCTTAAAAAATGTTATGTATTTCTCTATAACAATTATTATAAACCCATTTTTACTTTCACCAGATGTTATGGATGATTCGACAACTACGTTAATTCAGAGATTCGAGGAGGAGAAGTTGTTAATTAAACGAAATTGTCTGGAACTTATCAAACTCATAGGACAAGGTATTATAATGCTATGTTAATACAGATCTGTTGTTTAACATTGGGAACGGTGATTTAATGGTAAATGTGTTGACGTCCCAGCCCTATCGTTGGTTAGAGCCTTGCATGTACTTGGTTCATATTACACACATAAATGGCACATTAAAATTGATTGGTTTTGAGAGAGCGTTTCGGGTAAGTTACACAGTTTCTTTGCAATCGAGATAGAAAAGAGACAAATAGATATTAAAGCAACAAGAGTAGTGGAACAGTCAGTATAAAGCCTACACTGGACTTGCTATTTAATGCTGGTATAAGCGAGAGTCTTCATCATAACACACGAGCATTTCTGAAGGAATTTGATTCAATATATGTTTATATTTAAAACAAGTAACTTGTTTTAAGGCAGACACGTCACGTTGCATATAAAATATTTCTTCACGCAAAAACACGTGAATCATGCGTTGGTGGTCTGATATGCAATAAATGACTGAAAAAAATCCAGCATAAAACAATAGTCATTACAAAACGGTTGCGTGTTTCCAAAACTATAGCTAATCGTTGAAAAAAAAAGATATTTTCTTGTTTTTAATATATCTAGGTACATATAAACGTATTATTTTCTGTTATGTAGGAAATTTCGGCTCAGTATTCAAGGGCTATCTATTGACATCCGATGATAAAGTGTGCGTAGCTGTGAAAACTTTACATAGTAAGTATTATTTCATCTCCTCACATGTACAGTATCCCTTTTTTGACAAACAGACCAAAAACAGAATTATAATTCGTTTAAATGTTATGGAAATACCCAATTTAGAGAACTGTTATGCAATTGTGAAAGTATTAGTAATATCAAAAGATCATTTATTTTGCGGAAGAGATCCTTTGGTTGTTTATAACACAAAACGGTAGTTTGTTCTTGTGCTTGAGCATGTTTTGAACGACCAGGGACGCACGGGATGCCAAAAGTACAAAGTGTTTTCTGTTCTGCAAAAAGAAAAAAGATACAAAAACAAAACACAGTTGAATTCAAAATTAAAATATAGATTAACATACTCTCACATTGACCTTCAAAAACATGTCGTATATGCAAGACTAGGTACTCTTTTAATGGATACATAGAGTAAAAATAAATACATTAAAAGCATGTTTACTAAAATAATATTCAACTGTAGTACAATAAAAAAGGTCCTAATCAACACCCATCAGTTGGGTGGGAAATGGCATGGGCCAATGCGAGGCGTTGCTATGCAGAGGATAAAGTTAGCGTTTGGTTTGGTTTTACGGCGCAACAACACAGTATAGATCATATAACACCAAAAGAGGAAAGATGATTTTGGGTAACCTCGGGTGTTACAAACTTCAAAACCACACCAGGGGTCAATTACTTTGGGAAGATACTTGATAATATGTTATTTTAACCAGGGTATTGCTGTATAGAGATGTAGATATTATACTATCTTATATAAAAAAATGAGCCGCGTCATGACAAAAACAACATTATGGGTTTGCGACCAGCATGGATCCAGACCAGCCTGCGCATCCGCGCAGTCTGATCAGGATCCATGCTGTTCGCTTACAAACCCTATAACAAGTAGAGAAACTGATAGCGAACAGCATGGGTCCTGACCAGACTGCGCGGATGCGCAGGCTGGTCTGGATCCATGCTGGTCGCAAACCCACTATGTTGGTTTTGTCATGACGCGGCTCAAATATTATTTGCAGAAAACGAGCACCGAGATATGAATCAGCTGCAATTTCTGAAGGAAGCTTACGTCATGAAGAACTTTTCTCACGAGAATGTCATGCAGCTTATAGGGATTTGTCTCGAGGCGGAGGAGACGCCATTGGTCGTACTTCCGTTCATGGAGCACGGAGATCTTCTGTCTTATCTCCACGAGGACAAACATGTAAGCAATGTTTTCCCGCCAAAATATATATAACAGCCCAAGATTTTGAGAAAATAACGTTCCGGAAATAACCGATTTTCTACGATATTGGCCGATGTTAGAATTTGCTTACTTTGCCTTAGAATTGTACTACCGTCAGTCATATGCATACATTTTCATATGTGAATTCATTTTAATCAATTTCAATCTTTATTCAGAGTTTGTATTAGATATATTTATTTTTTTTACAAAAAAGCTGTATTGTTCAAGTGAACTGGTTATAGTGGAAATCAGAATCTGTTTAGTTTAAACATATTTTATTCCTTTCAATTTTTTTACAATATGTGCAATGCAAATATATAGAGAGAAAAATATATAAATACATTTTGAAAGAAAAAGGGTTGGACCACAAGTTCAAATAACATTATCTGTTGAAAACCATACCGTAATAGATGTGGCTTGAGATTAGATTTATTATTATTCTATTATTACAGATACCAACTGTTAAGGACCTTGTCTCGTTTGGTTTAGACATTTCTAAAGGCATGGAATATCTCGCTGGGCTCAAGTTTGTACACAGAGACCTGGCTGCTCGAAATTGCATGTATGTACGACTATTCTTGAGAACGAACCTGTTTGTCACTTTATTTTCTCTGTTTGCAATTCTTAAATGTTTTAATGCTTTGAATGAAAGGGCTTTTATATAAGGTAGTCCATTGTGAAATATTCAGTTATTTAACATTCATAAAAAAGGGGAACGTCGTAAGAAGCAGTGTTTATGTTCATTGTTCTATCTGGGCTTACTTTTTAATGTTATCAAAAATCATTGATTCCCATTTAAGAAAGACTGGGTTCTTAAGTATGGAAATATACGCACGCAATATAAAACTTTGACGAGACATCAGTTATCCCAATGACGTCAATACCTCGGTATATCAAATGACGTAAAGTAAACCACTGTATGTCGAAATGGAAATAGATATTACACTTTCCTGTATAACCATACATTGACTGTCATTCTTTCAAATGCTTTGTAATCAATCACTCAAATATAAGTAAATATTTTAACAAACAAAATATTTCTAATGTCAATGTTATGTCATTATCAAATTGTTCAGATTATAGGTTTCATTACTTTGACTTTCAGGCTTGATTCAAATTTTAAAGTCAAGGTCGCAGACTTTGGGTTATCACGTGATGTCTACGAAACGTCGTACTATAGCACCCAAAGTAAGGGAACAAAACTTCCGGTTAAATGGATGGCCGTTGAAAGTTTAGCAGGCGGTGTCTTCAATGAGAAAACTGATGTGGTAAGAACGAAAGATATAGTTCATTTTTGGTCTAATACTATCCTGAAGTGACAGAGAAGATTACTCCTTGGATTTCCATAGTCGGATGTCGTCTGCAAGTGTTACAAATCATTATATGTGATGTTTAAGTTTTAATAACAATCACGAATACGAAATAATTTAGAAGGCTTTCATCCGTTTGGTTTTATATTCAAACAGGATGTGCATTATTATTAGATTTTCTATATGTAATATTATAGCACTTTGGTATTATAATATTTAATTTTGAATTTAATATTTTCAAATTTTCGGCTTGCAAATGCGAAGATTAATGCAAATTCTATTAAAAGAAGGAGTTAAAGATCGCTTTCAAAAAAAATTTTTTTTAATAAAGCGTGTTTTAATTGATTTTCTATAGTGGTCCTATGGCATCACTCTCTGGGAATTGATGACCCGAGGGGTACGACCCTATGCTGCCGTTGACAACTGGGACATGGAGAGATACCTCAAGTCTGGGCGCCGACTACCTCAACCATTATACTGCCCGGCACAATTGTAAGTTCGTCCCAACTTTAAACAAATGAATATATAAAACAGTTTTAACCAAAGTTGGAATGGCGTTCCAGGAATGTCATTACTATTATATTGATTTATAAACGGAAAAAAATATTTGGTAAAATTCTTTCGTACGAGTATCTGTCGTCTGCCCAGCTCGGTCACGCGCTGTAAATCCGATCAGGCTGAAGCAAGATGCTGTTATATGAAAACAATGTATATCTCTTTTTTCTAAAAGGCAAATTATTTACCTTTAGTTTTGAATCACTCTTTTTTTCAATATGAGAGACGTGTTTCTTTCGCAGTTTAGCATATTTTAACATGCAATAAATCTGTTTTCATCGAAAGATACATAGTTCAAACTGTACCGTTTCTTATCATTGGTAGATACAAGGTGATGCGACGCTGCTGGGCCATCAATCCCGACGACCGCCCGACCTTCACCTCCATACGTCAATGTATCTCGGATATGTTAGAGAAAGTTCACCATCAGTTAGGAGATACCCAAAAAAACTCAAACATTTCTACAGTTTATGTAAATCTTAACACGTGCTCAGGGTGTACATATGAAAATCAGGAAAACTTTTAAGATACAATCTGCTGATATGCTGTAAGACTGAGTAATTGTATTTTTGTTGACTGGAACTCGTTGCAAAGCATTGACAGTCACTTATTGTGTTAACTTACTCATTTACCATTGTACATATACATACTTTGACTATGATGAGTTATAATATAGATATTAATTGTTTCCAAACTATGAGTTATCGTAGATGTTGGTCGTTTCCAAACTAAAAGTGCTTATTGAATGTTAATTTATGAACTTTGGATTAATTAACGGATTGCGATTCTCGGGAACAGATAATAACGATGTTTGGAATATGATAAATGATTTGATAATTAAATTTTAGTTTATATAAACAACATTATTGTTCATGGATAGTAATTCAAAATTCTACAACGGTGATAAAAATGCACTTTAATTTAGATTCATATTCTGTAACTCCATTTATGAAACTTTGTATTCATGTTTAGATGCAACAGAGTTTTATAATATAAACTATCAGCTATGAAGGACACCATCTACGAGGGTTGTTCAAAAAGTAATAGGACTGCAGTTCTACTGTTCACATTTTTAAATTTACGTGCACAATTTTACAAGATAATAATATCGGAACATATCCTCTATATACAGTGAAAAAATCAATAAAATATGTTTAGAAATAACGAGTCTGTGAAAATTTCAAATGACAAGGGGTACGCGACCCGGCGCACGCTAACAGAACAACAGATGACGTTTATGACGTCGTAAAATAAAAATAAAATGTATCAAGCGTAATCCATTCTGAAAGAATCCTCCCTAGTGTTCTAGGTGTCTAAATCGTGTAAATTTGACCAGACCTCATATGTGGAGATGAAGCAAGAAAGAAAACGATCACATTCTTGTACCACTCTCCGAGAAAAAAAGCCCGATAGCCGGCCACTTTCCGCTTTTTCTCGTATTCTTGTATCTTATAGTAATCAATATAGATTAAACAGGCATGAACTTATGATATTAATGAAAAAGTGATTAATAGAGTTATTTTACACATATCATCGTACGTTCTTAAAACAATATGATTATGTAAGTAAAATAACAATAGTTATCAACTTAAAAGTATATTTTCCTTCTAAGAACAGCGTATCATTTTAAACGAAAATCGGGGAAAATATTAATAATAACCGTTTATCATTATAACATTAATTTATTAATAACACATATATCTAGTTTAATGAAATCGAATTTTGTTTGAAACAAATAATTTAGGCAGAACTGAATCAATAGACCCAATGCAGAAATCAAACATGCCGGACAGTTCGTGGGCTGTTTACCGTCGATCATTTTGTAGCGCTTTTTCATTTGACGTCGCTAACGTCCCGTCAATTTCCCGCTATCATTCTCATCCTTTCCTGTTTGTGATTTCGTATGTGCAGTTATTGAGTTGTTTGCGCAAGCTTAGAACAAGTATCCTGATAGCTGATTAATTGTTCTGTGTTAATTTTATGTTTTCATATGTATCTAAAGGAGTATCGCCAATGTGTTGGCAAAGTTTAACGATCGCACACATTTTCAGTTTTTTAACGACGCCACATTTCTACATTTAACGTTATGACCACTGCTGTTGAAAACTTGATGATTTAGCCATTTCATGTCTGAATGACGTCAAATTTGGGCATAATGTCACTTAAATATAATGAATGGTGTTGGTGGAATAAATGGGGAAAAAAGAAAATAAATTAAGAATAAAATAGAGGTTTAACTACGCTTCAATAACCTTTTTTATGTGCTGCGCCGGGTGCGTGTTACCATGGTTATTCAATAACTCAGGGAACACGCGTTAAGCATACGAATTCAATATTTTTATGTTTAAATTGAAGAAAACATTTGTCGATAGCTGTACATATAAAAATATTCTAAATTGAATTGAATATGGAGATACAAGACTCTTAGTCCTATTACTTTTTGAACAACCCTCGTACATACATAACTACTTTGAACTATGTATTAAAGTGTACAAAAATAAAATTGAGTTAGTTTTCTTGCTAAAGATGTGAATTTTAGGAGAATATCATAAATATATATCATCTCATTGTATAGTGATAAACAACCATACTGTTAAAGAGGATTGATTTAGAGGTATTAACATGAACTGAATAAAACAAGTAAAGCACTCGCATTTTAAAATTGTTTATTTCTTGAATAAATATTTGGACGGAGAAAATATTGCTGTCGTTTGACTTTGTTGTAGATTATAATTATAAATTTATATGTAAAATATATATGTATGTATAGAAAAAAAATGTCAATGAAACAAAAACCTTACATAATGAGTGATATCACATGGCGCTCTTGAGTACACATTGTATTAAAACAACAATCACAGAATATAATGTAACACACAAGTTTGTCCATAATTTAGTCCTTATTGATTGTATAAAAGTCCCAACTGTTTATTCCAGAGGCAATACATAACTTGTTTTCGACAGAGAAAAAGAGATAGACTTAAATAAAAATAGAGTTTTGATGTCGGCATTATTAAATGATTGTGATAGAATATTTCCTTAAATATTAAAATGGACAAACAAACTGACATTAGCAAAGCAAAAACTTATTTAAAAAGTAAATGTCGTAAAGTTCTCCCTGTATAACACCTAAAGGAGAAGGAATGCTGCTATAATGAAGACAACAACAGCTTTTGGCAGATGCAGTCTGCTAGCAGAACTTCCGACCAATTTTTGAAATACTGGTTGTTCAGGTTTCCTACTTATATCTACAGATTCACTCCAAGACTTTGTTGACTTTAATATCTCATCAAGTTCCTTTTCTGTCAGTTCTTTCACACTAGCGGTTGCTGTGCCAAGCCTTTCCTCGGCAACCTTATCGACGGAGTCATGTAACAAATTGGCTTGTACAGTTGGTTCTGCAGCTTTATGATCAGCATTTTGCTCCACCTCTTCATTTGTGTTAGCTGCATGTGATTCGTCAATATGTTCCTCTTTCTCTTGATTAACATCTCCTTCAATAACCGCTTTGGTTGTGATCTTTTCATGTACGCCCTTGGTGGTATTTGTATGGATAGGCATGGCGGTTGTTCCACGATGTTTGCTGCCGCCTCTGTCTTTGTTACCTCCTTTCGATGCATCACCGGATGCAACAAGAACGCTGTCAGCTATTTTGCTTGGTGTAGTTGTAACTGGAGATATTGTTGAGAAGTTACTTGTGTAGACAGTCCTCGTTGGATCTATTTAAAAGATAACAAGAATGAAATTATCTTTCTGAATGAGAAGTAATTTTTGGCGTAGAAGCAAGACAATGTGTAAATTTATTTGAAATCTTGACGGTTAATTGTTAGTGCATACTGATATTTTTCCCTTTAAATAGCAGGTATCCTAAATTAGTGACCGATAATTTTATTGTAAACACTCAAAGATATGCTTGTTTCAGTTTATGAAACACGACCAGAAATTGAAATTTGCATATTAAAATGGCGACATTTGATCTTTATATAAAAGTAAAACCAAATTTTGATGGGGGACAACAACAAATGCATCTTTTGTTTTAGATTTAAAGTAGTCCATTGATCCAAAGCACACAATTCTATTTTATGTTATACATCTGTATGTACACTGTTTTAAGCAAAAGAAGATGTCGATCTCATTTTCGGAATCCGTGATATTATTGTTATTGAGATATGGGATTGAGAGGGGTGTTTTGTTATTCTTGGGGCTATTTGGCTTTCATTGTAGAAACAATGTGAACTGCCTTGCAGGCATGCACATGCGATAATCAGTCCGGTATTGTCACGCAGCGGGTTTGTTAGCCAACGATAGTTGTTTGTAAATTCAAAATTTTACCAGTTTCGTGTTAAAATGTTGAATTCTGCTTAAGCCGGTGCTATGGGGCGTAGACGGTAACTTGCACTTGCACCGTCCATGAACAGGCTCAATCAAACCGAGTCTGCAACATTTTCAATTTTGCCGTGTTGGGCTTTCTTTAGGGATTCTTTTCCTCTCTATTTTATCATCAATAACGTTTTAACAGATTTTTAAACTAGAACTGTGTCCAAAGGACACGGATGCCCCCAGTGACAATATATATATGGTATATATTGAAAAAAAATCAACAAAGGGCCATAATTATGTTAAATTTGGTCGCAGCAAAAATTCCTTCCTTTACTACCATCTTCACATTAAGGTTGTTCATCCCTGGAAGTTAAAGCAAAATCTGACATCCGGTTTAAGAGGAGTTGCGTTCACAAAATTTCTACATAGTATATAGTGAAAAAATCACTAAAGGGCCATAATTCTGTTAAATTTGGTCGCAGCAAAAATTCCTTCCTTTACTACCATCTACACATTAAGGTTGTTCATCCCTGGAAGTTAAGGCAAAATCTGCCATTCGGTTTAAGAGGAGTTGCGTTCACAAGATTTCGGGACGTACGGACAGACGTCCGGAAGCTCTCACAGGAGAGTAATTATGTGGCTACTCTATTGTTCTCTCTATTGTTCTTTTTAGCCACACAAAAGAAAATAGCCACATAAAAGCATTACAGAATGAATGGCATCAAAGAGAAAGAACAGTTACCTATTGTCCCTCTAGCCACATAATTACTCTCCTGTGAGTGCGGACGGACGTACGTACGGACGGACGGACAAGTGCAACGCTATATGCTCCCACTTTGTGGGGGGCATAAAAAACACAACATATCAAGGTTAACAAGCAGTTAGAAGAAACAAACCTATATCTATATTGTGTATGGCATCTTCATCTCCCACTGGGTCGTACATCAGAATTGCCTTACTCGTGATATACATTAGTTTACGATTTGCACTTCTTCTTTTTCTTTTTCCAACTTGAAAAAACGACAGAAACATGCATGTCGAGTAAAACGTAAGATTCAGTTTGAAGTATCAGTATATATCATAGGTATGTTCGTTAATATGCAAACTACGAAATGATGGTAACTCGCAACTTATCAATATACAAGTACTTTATATAATGTTTGTAATCTAGGTTCTGCAAAATTAATGTAATTTGAAAAAAATATATATTCCACTTTCGATTAGAAGACTGTAAAAAACATTGATATATAGGAGATACAAGCAAGGATATGAAAGGATTATTTTCAGAGATTTATTTTCTATAAACTAACTTTGTCCTTGTTGCACGTGCCCTTGTTGATGGCAACTGCGATCACATTCCGGACTCCTATCCTCTATCGGACAGACGTATGCCTCGCAATGTATATGTACTTCGCTGTACTGGATAAATTTGAATGTCTGGAAACGGAATCCGAAAATGTAAGCGCTGATGGGGAAGAAGCAAACCGTCTCGTCAATAATGCACCTACAATAGATATACATCACTGATGTAAATGTAATCAGGTACCAGTCGGAAAACTCCATGCGATTTAAGAAAACAACTTTTCTTTGTTAAATAAAAGACAAAAATAATAATAAAGTTATATATTTTTAAAGGTATATTTGTTTGAAGATATTAAAACCTTTAAAAAACCACTCGATAAACCGCATGAAACATGAACGAACTACATTAGTGTATTTATTAGTCAAACATAGACAAAATGAAATATTTTCCATGGGAAAACCGAATATATTATCTATAGTAGGCTGTAGAGTTGATATTACAAAAAAACTTCTCCATTTGAAATAAAATAAATACAATGTGCGATCTTTCAATGGTAAAGAAAGCTTTACTGTGCTGTAAGTAACCGCTAAAATAATTTATTTGCCTAAAGTAATATGAATCCTACCAGAGTACTTAAATTAAAATTTCAGAAAAAATCAAAAAGTGCATGCATAAATCAACCGTAATGACAATAAAAAGTTATGAAATAGATCCATATTGTCAGGGCAAATTGAGGTCTGATTTAGGATATTCATATGCATTAACAAAGGGACTTGGTATTTGTATTAAGACATATCTAAGACTAGGGACTTTACATGGCTCGCTTTCTTGGAAAGTCCTTAGTCGGAAATCAGTCATTAGGTCAAAAACTGACACAAATTTGCGTTTAAAAAATCTCCTAACTTATGAATCAGAACTATGTTATGATTCCTTCAGTTTCTGAATAGCATAATCATTGCATTACAATTAACAAACACAAAGTGCATTAAAGCGCGTGAAATTGTATTTCTTTACTTTTCTTGGAAGAACAACTGTGATTAACGTATAAAGTATTCAACCACAGATAAAAATGTTTATCAAAACTGTCTGAAGATAGTCCTAAAGATAGTCTTAGGACTTAAGATGTCCTTAGGACTTTTTATGCACCCCTGAACTTATATATTATATCTGTATAACATTTGCTAGTTTAAGCTTTACATGTTAATTAAATCGTTGTCACAGTTCTTAATATTCATTCATTATTCTTAATCAGAAGCATGAAACAATGGAAGAAGCAAGAAAGAAAGTCAAGAAACGTACTTGTCGGTGAATAATTCGTATTTAATGGGGTCGAATCTGTTGGATGAAGGCGTGGCATAGCACGTGGTTACTATGAGGAGCAGATTGATCTCGTAAGTAATGAGTGATATCTGTACATTTAGCCAGTTACCGACTGGAATCTTCACCGGATATTGCGTAATCTGTGTGATAAAGTTGTCACTGTTAAAAATAAAGGTTTAAATGTTAATGTCAAACATAGAAATATATCTTGAAGTTACTAAAATTTAAACTTTAAAACTCACAGGATCTTTAAATATAGAAATATGTTGATGGTGTTTAAATATCTATAGATAAAATAGATTAAATCCTTGAACAGAATGTGGACTTGTCTCAAGTATAATGAAAGTCAAACTAATGAAATACATTTATATATCATACATCAGATGTAATAATTGTTAAATTTGACGAATTATCATGGAATAAACGAGAATGTCAAAAAAATAAGATATATCATGCAAATTAGATGAATGTCAAATTTAAAAGAATACATTATGTTAATGTTAACTAGAATTATTTAGGGTTACTGTAGACAAAATAATGCGAGAATAAACATAGTAAACATGAATGTCACATTAAAGAAATATATCAATAATAAATATAAATGTCAAAATATTAAGTAAAACGTTAATGCCACTCTAAATACATAATTATACATTTATATGATAGCCGTATCATAAATGTCATATTCATTTAATATGTATAATAGAAATCAAGTACATGTATAAGGACAAAAAGAACTGAAGTGTTAACTTTATATCGTACTTACTGTCGTATTATACATTAGATATTTATTTAATTAAAAGACATTTATGATGGTGGGCTGATTTTGTACACTTTGCGCATTGCGATGTCGATAGCGACAACACAACCTATATCAATACCGAGTTTTCGTCTTGCCGCTAGCGAAACGGGGCGATGTCGCACTGTCGTCTTGTTATCCTGTCTCTAGCAAAGCACGCCAAGCGGCGCATTGTCGTGTGTCGTGTTGTCGCGATGTCGCCCTGTCGCTTGGCTTATAAGCCAATCAAAAGATTTGTGTCTGGCGACAATGTGATATCGCGACAACACGCCGCACGACAACGCGCCGTTTGGCGTGCATCGTTAGCGACAAAACGACATGACAAAAGTCCTACAATGCGCCGTTTGGCGTTTTGTCTTGCTGTCGCTAGCGACAACACGACGTACAAAAGCGTTCCAAATCAGCCACCATATAGAATGGATAAACTTAAACGGTATTAATAAAACAATGGATAAAATAGTGAACATGATAATAATGAAATAAATATCATGGCTGATTTGGTACACTTTGCGCGTTGCGTTGTCGATAGCGACAACACAACGTATCTCTTTATCGCCTTATCGTCTTGATGTAATCGAAACGCGCCAAACGGCTTGTTTTTCTGTCTCAAGCGTAATACGCCAACCGACGCGTTGTCGTGCGTCGTATTGTCGCGATGTTGCTTGGCCCTGTCGCCAATCCTTCGATTTGAGCCTAGCTTCAATGTGACATCACGACAACACACCGAACGAAACGCGCCATTTATCGTGCATCGTTAGCGTCAGGACGATAAGACGAAAGTCCGACAACGCGATGTTTTGCAATTGTCGTGCTTTCGCGAGTGACAACACGTAACACAAAAGCATTCCAAATCAGCGCCATAAATAAAGGATACAACATAATTATGTCAGTAGATAAAATAATGAATAAAATAATGTATAAAATCCGTCTTACATGAAAAACGCCATTATAACGGTATAGTTTCCGGGTGCAGCTACACTGATATTAACATTGGTTGGAATGTATGTCTTCTCTACATAGTACGTACGGTCCATTTCACATTTCACATATATAATGTATGTCTTCACTCTAGTTATCAATCCGGTCGGTGATGGTACATATAGAATAGCATTCTCATAGATTATATGTGTCCTGTTGTACTGAATAAAGATATACAGGAATGTTAAAGACCTATTTTGCCTAAAAATATAAATTATTGATATAATACCTTTATATTTCAAAAGATAATGCGTCATATAAAATACACGTCACATTTCAAAAACATGGTACCGTAGCAAAGCACAGACACAAATATATAATTATTGATATAGGTTTTCTAAAATCAATTGAAAATCTATTGAAATAATGTTTGACCTCTTAAAGTTATACAATCATAAATACGATATAAGATTTAAGCATGACTTCAGTGTACATCAAGCATGCAAATGTTTCTTTCGGGATTCGAACCCACAATAGTAAGCAACCATAACCAACATAATAAGTAGTGGCATGGCCGAGTGGTTTACGCGTCGGACTAGTAATCTAAGGATCGCTATCCGCGTAGGCGCGAGCCGTTGTTTCATTGAGCAAGAAACTTTACATTCATTGCTTAGTACTGGTTGGTTCCAGGATTCGAGAGTGTATGTATAAGCTCATAGCTTCCTACACAATCGAACTGAAATAAATTCTGTATAAACCAAGTAAAATGAACCTGATTATATAGAAGTTTATTGTTTAAGTCCGTGGTTATGATTTTCTTTTAAAATTTTAAATATATATATATATAACCATACTGTTCTCCTAGTTCCGCACTGATCAAATGGTATACCGAAGGTAATATGTGAGCCGTAGTCCTGATGGTTGACCGCGCACACAGAGCCTGACTGCTGAACAATAGACACTGCGCTATGCGCCACAAAACCTGCCCATGACGACGTGAAATTTGCTATGATCATATTATCTTTACATATCAGATCAGGTGGTTGAACTGTAATATAAATTAACAACATCATAAGATACTTTTAAATTCATGTGGCCTTCTCATAATGACCTTAAAATAATTCGGAATGCTTTGGAACTTTCTGCGTCAAATAAAACGTTGAATGTGTCATCGATACGAACATTACCAGTCATTTAAGTAATACCTTGAATACGGAATAGAACGTAAATGATATATATATTTATACGAGTAACTGGTTGACAAAAATGGAAAATTCAGGAAAGAAAACATGTGACAGACACTATGATTTTAAACAACACATGTTAAAAATGATCTGATATATATGTTTAAATTATGAAATTATGTTCGTGTCTTATACTGTAAAAAATGTCAAATAATGACAAAAGCATATAAAAGCAAAATTGTTTGAATGATAATATATGTAGAACATAAATAAACACTGCTTCCGGTCACCGCCAACATCGAAGCAGAAGGACAAATCTAATGACGTCATGCAAGGAAAGCTATATTTACTGATGTTTGTAACTTGCAGTTGTCCGCACGAGACCATGGCCATTTCATTCCGACCACAACTGTTTTGTCTGACGCTGTACCGGCAATTAAAAGGACTTGCCTCGCTTCCGGTGCAGGTCATATTTGTAACCATCATTGGCTCCAAAATGTAGTCAATGTTAAAATTCTCACTTCCGGCCAACGACTGAGACGGTCTGGTTAAAAGTAGAGAACAGCATGTTTTTTAAACTAGTTTCGAAAAAGCTATCGTATTTTAGTAATGATAATTATTAAGAGTGGGGCATCCGTGGCCGAGTGATTAAGGTCGTTGACTTCATATCCCGACAAGGGCTTTTGATTTGTTCATGTGATGAAGCTAACTAGCTAGCTTACAGAACGCGTCGGTAGTTCAATTTGGGTGCCTTTTCGTGCCTGAAATAATGCAAGAAAGAGCATCTGATGTCTTCTCAACCAGTAAAAGCTGAAAAGTCGCCATATGATCTATACTACGTTGGTTTGGCGTAAAACAAAAAATAGAAAACTTTCTTATTCTCGTGACATTGTCTTCATTAGAAATTTAGAAATAGTCATAAGCTTCCCCTGCCTTATATATTATAGAATTATTAATTTTTAAGTTTCAGGTGTTGTTTTTTCCTAAACAGTTGTACCAATTATTGAAGATGTATTCTTTATATTAAAAATTGGTCAGTTGTACATATATAATATATACTCATAGCAAAGGTAGCGGCAAATAACTTGGGCATCTACTCTTTCCCAGAAATCGTCGCACACGCCTACCCATTGGTTGTTTATAAAAATTTGGACCACTCCTGAGTCACAACATACAACTGACGTATCCTGAACCAACCGAACCAAACGTCCAGCGTTCGCGCCTAGAAATAAATATGAGCCGCGCCATGACAAAACCAACGTAATGCGTTTGCGACCAGCATGGATCCAGACCAGCCTGCGCATCCGCACAGTCTGATCAGGATCCATGCTGTTCGCTATCAGTTTCTCTACTTGGAATAGAGTTTCTTAGCGAACAGCATGGATCCTGATCAGACTGCGTGGATGCGCAGGCTTGTCTGGATCCATGCTGGTCGCAAACGCATTACGTTGGTTTTGTCCTGTCGCGGCTCAATTATGTAAGTTTATATGCATATCATTTATAAAGTACATGTAACGTTATGACTTTTGTAACGTAATTGATATGTTCATCAAAATAATATGCTTGAATTGTCTAAATGAAAATCATATGTAATCAGAAAAACAGACATTTCAATGGATTAAATACAATAATTAGTTTCTCGATGTTAAACAAGACTGTGACGTTTTACATGACTTCATATCACTCACATCTTTTACTCTTCAAGAGCTTATATCACAAGACCCTGTTCAGTTATATTTTTAGAATTCATAAGAAAAAACAACAACAACATAAGATGTAAGTGCTTACATATTCCGTAATTATATGTATATTTTCCAGTTATGATTATTGGCGGAGTTTGGGGTTGTATTGTTTGTACTGGAGTTACTGGAGCTACTGTTCCTCTTACTGGCGTAAACCACGGAATGGTAGTGGGTGGCCGATAAGTAACAGTTGATGGTGGATGACAGATGACGCCCACATCGGTGCTGTGAGTGCATGGTACATTAATACAGAACGCCAGCTGGCATTGTAAAACTGACAGTTCATTTCCCAGACATCTTATGTCATCAATTATTGCAATATCTACGCCCTGACCATATCGACCATCCATAACAGCCACTGACTTTGCGACGTCTACCCTAAAATAACAAAAAAAAATATTTGCCTTGACATCACCTGACATTCAAGAAAATAAAATTTACTACCATTTTACCAGGAAAAACGATGAATTTATCTCGATGAGGAAAACGCGGCTCTTCACATCATATACGTTATATATTGAACCAGAAGCTATTGATTTTGTTTTGTATAGTTTAAATTTATAGACTAACCATATGGATGTATATTATCTATAAAGACTTACTCATTTCTTATTCCAAGTTGTCTGCATACTACCCGAGCTTCAAACTCCGAAAAAAAACGACTACAAATTGTACCCCAGGAGCCATTATAAAATAATTCTACACGTCCCTCGTATAAGTTATGGTTATAGCCAGATAATCTAATGCTTCCTGCAGGCACTGAAATTTAAAAACTTTTCTTTTATTTATTTATAGTAGTCATGGTAACGAAAAACAGAGAGATATTTTGTAATCTTTCAACAATTATTACGAGAAGAAGAACAATAATATATCTCTAAAAAGGAAAGCAGTAAATGATATTTGCCTCATTGGCAAAGCAAATACGACATTATTTATAATAAACTTAATCTTTTATGGTTGCATATAAATTTGTCTGTCAGGATTTACGGCGCACCAACACAGTCTATGTTATATTGCGGCAGAACAGGAAATGTAATTTTGGCTAACCTCGGATGTTACAAACTTGAGGCAACACAAGGTATCAAAGCCACCACACCTGCTGGAGCTAAGAGATGCATAGAAGTCAGAAACTAGAACCCATTTAGTCGCCTCAAACGTTCACCCAGGGACAAACGATGGCTTCCATTCTCATTCCCGATCATTTGAGAACAACCCCTTAGTCACAAGGGACTTAGACATTCACTCAAATCAGAACAAAGTTAAGTTCTTACTAAAGCATTATATGTTAAGAAGAAGTATATTCTTAATAATAACTTATTGATATATTTCCTGACTTGCGATACAGACATTCACATATTGAGCAATAACTTTGCTCTAATAGACTTACTCCGGAATTAAGAATATTTGGGGTTTTCCCAGCTAATAACGTAGGTACAAACAAACTTTTACAGTTACAACTTCGAAAATAAGCGAAACAGGTTGACTAATCTATTGTGACGGGTAGTGCACCGTGAAGCTATAACAGTAAAAGTTAGTTTGTATTATATATTATTATTATTATTATTATTATTATTATTATTATTATTATTATTATTATTATTATTATAGTTATTATTATTATTATCATTTTTTTTTAAAAATTACCAATCATCATTAGCGCATTAATCATTATTGTTAATTTATTATTACTATTATCAACACTATCTTCATTCTTATTCATTATTACTATTACTATTAATATTATTGTTGATTAATTATTTTTCAGCTCACCGAAGCTTCATAACAATCAAATTTTGTCATAATACTTATCTCAACATGACCTTAAAGGTCTTTGGTCAAAAACTAGGTCATAAGGTCAATGAGCGAAGAAATCCCTGCTAATTGTCTAGAGTTTACATGTTTTTTTATTTCATCTTCACAAAACATTGTCAAAATGTGAGTGCTATCTCAGCTTATTTCGAAGATGGGTCAATTTGGCTTAAAACTAGGTCAACAAGTCAAATAAAAAACATTCTTTTAACAGTCTTAATGTCACATTTATTATTTGATCTTCACAAAACTTTGTCAGAATGATTTTTTCTGATACCTCAGATAATTCGAATCTTGGTCATATATTAGGTGAAATCCTTGGTCTCCGCGTCAAGAAAACATTTTATTTACGCCTATACTAGTACTTTTAAGAGCCTAGAGGCTTTAAGTTTGATCTGAACTGCATTAAACGTTGTTAGAAATGTTTATTTTGATGATAACTCAGAAAATTTCGAAAATGGGACATCTTGTGTCAGAACTTGGTCACTACATTAAATCTTGTAAAACATTGCTCATAGTCTAAAGATCGTATTCATCAAACATTGTTAGAATTTTTGTCTTTATGATGTATTACTCAAATAAGAATAATTTTATGTGCTAAAAGGTAGTTTATAACGTAAATTGAAAGATAAGACCCAGGTCACAGTTTTTTTTATTGTTCTTGAATTTGTAGTTTTCACAAAATTATTTTTTGGAAATCTTTTTTCAAAGCTACCAGACAATGAAATATCCACAAAGATATTGCAGATGTTGAAACAAGTCAATGTTTTCTTTGGATTTTATTAATCTTTGGAAGAATGAATATGCGTTTGAGCAATTAGGCTCAGGTGAGCTTATACGGGCTATCATGGCCCTCTTGTTCACCAAATGTAAGACGTATACTACCATTCACATGGATACATATAACTATAATCAAGACATCTATACGTGTTTTATTTAAAGCCGTCATGTGTAGTTCCCGCTATCTAAATGATCTTATTTTTCACAAAATTCGACAGTCTGTAAAATTTTGCGCAATAAACATAAAATCACTTTTAATGAGATAAAAATTTCCTGACAGGCTGGAAAGGCGGAATATCTTTCTCCCTGTATCATATGTCGCACCAGTTACCCAAATATTTCTGTACACGTGGGTTCAAACCCCGCCAGAAGAAAACCGTTGTTTCCTTCTGCTTAGTACTGGTTTATGTCTTTAAAATTACGGCTCCTCACCGACACAACCGGAGTAGATAAGTTCTGTATCAACTAAATTGCGCCATTTGAAGGCATGTCACAAAGACAATCGGAATACCTCTCGAAGACAATAAGTTTTTTTTTTTTCTACAGGGTTGTCGGAACAAATCTGAGTGCTTACGACTGACAACGAGAGTTTAATGTACATTGCTGAACCATTTGAGCCGCGTCACGACAAAACCAACATAGTGGGTTTGCGACCAGCATGGATCTAGACCAGCCTGCGCATCCTCGCAGTCTGATCAGGATCCATGGTGTTCTCTATCAGTTTCACTACTTGCTATAGGGTTTGTAAGCGAACAGCATGGATCCTATTCAGACTGCGCTGAGGCGCAGGCTGGTCTGGATCCATGCTGGTCGCTAACCCATTATGTTGGTTTTGTCGTGATGCGGCTCAATTATCATCTTGTCATACATGGATTACAGAGGGTTCGACTTCAAGCTTCGACACACTGTTTGAGATTTTTGACAAGACCATAATTTAGTGAAACACCGTGGATGAAAAGATTGTAAAATAACTGGGCCTGGGATCTTAAAATATAAATCATCAGTGAAAGGCAATTTATCTTTCGCTTAAGTCAATGATGTCCTTTATCTTGAGCAGCTATAAGTCACGAACATTTACAGTGATGTGAGGTCGGGAAAGTGAGATATGTAAAATATAGCTTCCTAGAAGACAATATTGTGGAGTCATCATTATGCTAGTATGGATTTTTGTTCATACGCAATAATTCAGTGTTTCAAAGATTTATCAGTGACGTAAAGCGTTTGAATCAATAACTTGTGGAGCAAATTTTGACTTTGCATACAAGACACAACTTAAAGGATACTAAACTATAGCTAATGAAATATCTATATAAAACGTATAAACGGTAAAAATACGCTGTGTCCATTATCTTATGTTCTTGCCTTATATAGTCCCTGTCTCTGTCATTTAACACACATGCACGAATAAAGTTTTTCATTTATTTAACAGCCATTTTATATATGATTTTAACCATTTCGCAATAATTTCGATCATAACAAAATATCCAAACACATTTCCTTCTTACTTAATATATTCTTAAATATATTTTCATTCAAAATACAAAGAAGTAGCTACAAGCAGTAGACGAATAGCATTAGCTTCGGGATTCTTGATTCAAACACCTTTAAGTGAAAAATTGAGTACCACTCAAGCCGGTGCTATGGGGCGTGAGGGATTTTGCACATTTTCATTATCCCTCATGTACAGACTCAATCAAACCGTGTATACAATTAATGTTCGTGTAATTTTGTTGTGATTAATGCTTCCGAGGAATCACTCTTTTTCAAGATTTTATACAATTTAAAGTTTACTAAAATTTGATAATTTAATTGTGGTGCTGCAAAACTTGCTTTGTTTGTATTACGTGAGCGCTGTTTCGTTTGTTGGTTTTATACTGTTATTTTCATTGACCGTCATAATATTATTTCCTTATTTGCAGCAAATTAATAACATGTACATTATGAAAGAAGTCGTGTTGTGCTTATTCACACCGTATTACCGGCGGCAGTGATGGCAGATCACTGCAGTGATGGCAGATATCTGAAAATTACCGATCGGTACAGGTAGGTTATAAATTTGGTTGGTTTAATTATATTACACAAATACGGCCCATATCATTGCTATAAAACTATTGTCCATTGAATGGAGATACTGTAAGGTAATTTTGGACTCGTTTTTTCCTGTTTTCAGACTATTTTGAGCAGGTTAAAAGTGAAAGCCTTGGAAAAAATCCGTGAAAATGTCTGTTTTCTGTTCAAAATATCTCAAGTTTTAAGTAAATGGCAGGATTTCCTGTTATCAATATAGACGTTCATCCATTGGGGTCACGCAAGCCAAATATCTACCCCGTGAGTCTTTTCTTGAAAGTTTTACAGACGCTCAATCTTGTCCGGTCGAAGAAAAAATGCTGCCGTTGTAGGCAGATACATATTATAAATGCTGCCGTCGATGGCAGAAATACCACGAAAGTGGCTAACATTCTGACAGAAAATCAAGTTCAATCTTTTATCAATTCCTCTTTTCTTTGCGTCCTTTTAGTCGGAATTGAGACGTTAAACTATCATTTCTAATATTTTCTCAAGATAGAAAAGTTATTAATGCGGTGTGTGCATCGAAAAAAGCTTTTTAGCAACATGCAGTTACAATACAAAAAGTGATGATTTAGTACGACAAAATTTCACTATAAATAGAGAAATGAACATGAAAAACTTCATTTTTCTATGTTCATGCATGTGTGCTTGATCTGTTCATATGAATTGAAAGGTCAAAAAAGAGAAAAAGAATATAACAAATAAAAAAATTCTAGTTTTTTTTCCTATAAATACAGGATTTATTTTCATCTTGTGATATGAATCATCGAAAGGTTCATCTTTATAAATTGTCATGGTTACAACTAAAATGAATGAAAAAATACATAGTTAAATGGGAGCACGTGATGTTAGAACTGTTGTTAATAGTTTAGCATAGTAAATGTAATTCAAAGGCAAACTACAACGCTATTACAAACATGAAAATTTAAAGAAATGAATCCACGTTGTCGTGTTTTTCAAGAACTTGATAATATAGGAAAATATTTGAACTGTCAATAATATTATCTTTCCATTTTACATTAACACTGATACCAGTTGCGAGGTTAATAGTCTCCCCTTTATTACATCAATTTAATAATTTATAATCTGCGCCGATTAAG